GATTTTTCCATCTATGCTTGTGCGATGGAGCCATCGCCAAAATATAGGTGAGAAAATGTGAAAATACTAGAGAAACGTAATTTAATTTAACTATAGTATTTGTTTTATTTCAGATATAAGTTGCTACAGGGGGACATAATTATAATGTATATAAAATTATATTAAGTAGTGGTAAAAAAAATCAATGAGGTCTTAGTTCTAATTTCGGTGTGTTAAAAACAAACAAACAAACAATAAACCTTTCAAAACAAATAAAAAATGAATTTTACTAATTAATATTACATCATATGAATAAATAAATAATGTTATGTTGCATTAATACAGTCTTATGACAAACCTAGGATATGATGTATAAGCTGGACGTCCAAAATTGTGCTCTGAAAATTATAATTTCGGTGTAGGTAGTCCATATATTTTCGTAAATAATTATATTAAAGGCTCGTAAAGGTACTGTCCTGATCTGACTTCAATCAACAGTTATGTTTAGGAGTCCAGGAGATTCAGACAAAACCGAAAACAATTATGGTAGTACTTATACCTGTAATTTCCGTAAAAATATATAACATACCTTTTACGGATTATTTTATTAAGTGTATTTAGATTAAACTATAGAAAACGTCGATGAATTTTATTAATTAGTGCATAATAAATATAAATTAAGGGGTTTTAAATTATTTTATTTGTTTCCCCAATTTCAGTGCTACAATTTCGGTGGAATTGGATATGTTTTTCTAATTTCCCAAATAGCCAAATACCACTAATTTGGCACTCCAGTTATCACCTAACTGCTAAAGAATGAACGATACTGTTGTTTTTAAATAGGACGTATGTACGATATTAATAAAATATACATGATGCACCTAATATGCCATGGTTTAGAACAATTAGTACAGCCACAGCCATAACTCTAGCTCAGTTGACTCCCATCTGTAGTAAAGTCAAAGAGATAGCCAGCACAGAGATGAATCGAATTACGCATATAACCGACTTTTTGCCGAATGACATTTCACTTGATTTCCCAGCTTCCCCTTCGAGCTTTCTGCACCCATCCCTGAGAAAAGGAATTATTTTTAAAGAGTCCAACACATCGGAAGAGCTCTCTAAAGTCTTATGTCCTGATACATATGAATTTTATACAGATGGCAGTAAATCGGAAAGAGGCGTTGGTGCAGCAGTGGTGGTGTGTAGTCCAACGGGTGAATGGATACATACTAAAAAATGCGGAATGTTGGCCATTCGAGAAGCCTGCAATATTATCATTAAACGTGGATATAATAACGCTACCATTCTTACTGATAGATCATGGAACTTTCGAATCCCAATCCTCGTTACTCTTTTGCAAACGATATACACAACAGTCTAAGTATTAGCAAGATCAGCTGAAACAAGCATTTCATTCATTTGGCTTCGAGCTCATAACGGGATTGAAGGCAACGAGAAGGCTGATCAAGCTGCAGGGTCTGCGCTACCGCCCGCACGGCTCCTGTATTTTGCAAGTTTCCATTAAGCTACGTAAAACAGCACTTCCGGATGATTTGTACTTCTGACTCTGTTGCTCTTTATGAAAACCCCAACAATAGCCTATACACCAAGAAATGGTGCCCAGATCACAATAGTTTCTTGAACGTAATAAAAGTTTTTCCTATTAACTTCCAAATCACGCAATTTTTAAACGGGCATGGATATCACAAACAATACCTTCACCGTTTCAAAATAATTAATAGTGTCACTTGCCCGTGCGACAACACTACTCCACAAACTATGTTCCACCTTGTTAAAGATTGCGACAGGTTTGCCACAACCAGAAATGATCATGAAACCGCATGCCGAATGTTAAATATAAAAGACTCCTCTAGCCTAAAAGAAATTACAAGTAACGAAACCACAACAAATACGTTTATAGCACATATACAATATATCGTTAGTTAAAAATTTAATCAGACATAAACCAACTTTGAGTGACTGATGCGGTGGTTGGTACTACTTTTATACTAAGTATAATTGCGCTGCATGCCGTCGACCCAGTAAAAAATGTACAAAAATATTAATTTGAGTTTCACTCCTAATATCTACTAGCGAGCGTACACCGATAGCGCAACCGCTGTATTGAAAGGAAATCCAATATATAACCACATAAATAAAAAAAAAAGAAAAATATGCCATTATTAGATAAAAAATCAATTTAAACTCAATCTTTTTAGTGAACCACTTGCAAGATAAATTATTTATACCTTCACAGTCCAGATGTTCGTTGCTTTGTGATCTTCAACAACTTTTCACTATAAGAAAGTGAACAAGACAGCGGCGATAATGAAACAATTTTCCACAAAAGGCGTCTAAGATTGGCATAGTTATGACTTTAAGCCACAGGTAGATTGACTAGTAATAGTATTATCTATTTTTAACTGTAATCGTCAATCAATGAGTAGGCAATCAATAATTTGTTACAACAAGTATAAGGAAGTTATAAGGATATATTCAGCCTAAAAACCAACTGCTTCGTTATCAATTTCTAGCCAAAAGCATCTATGGGACGAGTCAGTAATAATGGTTTAAATAATGTTAAGTCACAGTAGTGAGTTGGTGCGGAACTCTTTGGTGTTATCTGTCAGTTTTTAAATGGCTATACTCTTTATAAAGGCACGGTACCGAATTTCATTTCAGAGAGCAATTAATTTTTGCATATTTTGCACTAACTATATACCAATAGGACCGAGACGGAGGTTTATTACCTGGTTATCAGTTCCATTTTTAGATTTTCTCGCACTTAAGTGATTTCAGGACAAACTCAAATATTCTATAGAGATCACGTTTAATTTATTTTTAAGTAAATTCAAAGATCATTTCATTCGTGTAGAACCTTTTAGCTGCTTTATTTATGATTGTCAATTTTTTTTATATTACCTACCATTTTTCCCTACCGTCCAGTTCAATATATAAATCTAATAGAGAAGAACTGGCAAGAAACTCAATTGAATTACCTACTATTTGTTTAACAGCTAGTTTACATACAACGTATATTTATATAGATATTTTTGTCTAACATTAAATGAAAATCCCGTGCGTGAACAACTATTGCCATGCACGCTCGTCATTTAAGTAATCGTTTAGTGAGTAAAATAGGCCATACTCAGTAAATATGATTTAACAGATGTTTTGAATTTATTTAAGGTTTATTCTTTGATATATTATTGTACATTTTTATACCTATTCCCATAAAAGACCTATTGACTTTTCTAAACGATACATGAGGACGGCAAGTATGTCTTTAAATCTAGTATTAATATTATGAATTTTTTTTAAATATGTGAAGATTTTTGAGAACCTATACAATATTTGAGCATATAAATTGAGAAGCAACGTTGTGAATATTTGCCTTTTTTTAATTTGTCTCTTATTGAGTCACCACTCCATACAATAGGTCGCTCGAATAACACGTTTTCGTAATAAGAATAGGTATATTTTTAATCTCTGCCGCTTTTCCCCATAATAATATTCCATAAGACAATAAACTATGAAAATATCTAAAATAGACTAATCTATCAGTGTCAGTGTAACTCGAAGTACATAATACTCTGGGGGGAAAGGGATTGTTAGTAATGTGGACTCTCGACCCCATTGCTAGCAATGCCAGGTTGACCTCCCCGTGGTTCCTCCTGGAAACCATCGTGATAAATTCCAGGTGAATTTATCACGATGGACTGCCCTCATGCTCATCTTATCATCCTCCACTGGTGCCCTGCCAGCGTAAACCGTTAGCGCAGGCGGGTGCACTCATAAACAAAAAAAAACATAACACTCTAAAGAGGTGTACCTACTGTCTAACCTTACGCACGGCAAAAACTGCTGTTTGCTTTGCAGTTTGCAGTTTTGCCTGCAAGACTTTGAATTTGTGTAACCCATTGTGTTTTATTATCTAATGTGAATTGTAGAAAGACAGTAGATTTTATAAATTCGAGAGATTCGTCATTTAATTATATGTTGGAATTAGTATTAAAACTTTTAGAGAGAAAAATATTAACACATTTTAGTTTTTAGCGTATAACATGAGGTCGTTAGGTAGTCGTATACCAGTGCAAGAGATGCCGCAAATCACTATTTACATCGTCATAATTATCAGTCATTTTAGTAAATAGATAGGTTGGTGATCATTAAAGATGGGAAAATGTAACGCGTGATCGTAGCAACAGGACGCGGAAGGTTAGGATTGAACAGATTTTTTTTTCGGACTACTCTAATGCTGTTGGTCGCAGCTGGCCTTTACAGCTTCACCGGACGTTAGGGGGCGAGTGATGATGGCACTCCAAACCCGCAGAAAGACTTATGGAGCGGCTGAAAGCCAACTCCTGCCTGACGGATACGACTTTAGTCTGAGGGCACCACTAGGGGTTCGAACCTCGGCTCAGGCCGTCGTAATATCGATCCCCGTTTGAATTGGACAGGGGATCGATCGAAGGGGGATTGAACAGATATATGTTAGTCCGTATTTACCCTACGTCCGTAATTCCCCCACCCTCCTCTACCTATATAACATGATATAATCTCTGAAGACTCAGAGCCATAATAAAAGGAATGTAATATTTAAAAACAAAAATTAGCTACGTGATTCAAATCTCTATTATAACTAATACTCTCTATTTAACACCATATTGACCTGATTAATACTACTTATACACCTAACCTACTTATATACCTAATTAATTATTTTAAAACCTAATAATAAATGAAATATAAATAGTTTTACATAAGGTTACTTAATCGTGTTTCTAAGTCACATATAAGATTGGCTTAATCTTCCTTTCCTTCGTCAAAATTTCCTACATACTAAGGTTGTAAAAAATAATACTTTCTTAAAATAATAAGTTACTCCTAAATTTTATTTCGTTCTTCGCATTACTTTTCATTCCGTTCATTCGTTCGTTTTGAGCGCCATCTTGTTTGATGATAGTACAACAAATATTTTATATCTGGCGACATTTTTTTCCATTCGTAGTTTCGTAGTTCTCGTGTTCCGCCATCTCGGCGTCACTATCGCTAATGAATTGATTAAAACGCCCCCACTGGTAAAATTTAGAAGCTTAAAGGTATTCAGGTACTTATTTACTGTTTATTCTGTGATTTTTAATCATTATATGTAATATAATTTAAGCATAAATTTTGTTGGTTGGACATTATTATACACGTGTTAGAACAAAGAGTCGTATTGAAAACGTATATTCCATTCTCTAGTACTCGAAAATTTTTATTCGCTGTTGACAACAGCGCCGTCTGTGATCACCTCTTAGTTCTCAGTTTGTGGCGCTATTTGTCTATAATTATTGTATGGAGATAATTTGTGTTTTGTTGTGAAATTGAAATTGTAATAAGTTATCAGTTTGCGTGTTAAATCAAATGTTACATGTTGCTAAGATGGCCGCCCAGCTACGTTGATAATAGTAGTGCAACTCACAATTACGACATATTGTGTTGGAAGCCCGAAGTAGAAACGTTTCGTGTTTGAAGAGGTTCACTACTTCGTGTTGAGAGGTCTCTGAAATAATTTTCATTTTAAAAAAGATACTATTACCATACATTTGAGTCTCAATATTATCATTTGTCATTCACATGATATTAACTTGACGTAGTATGCATTTCACGCAACATATTGTTTATGTTAGATACCTATATATCTATTTAAAAAATAACCTAAATTAACCTATAAACTTGTAGTACTAATTTTAATACTGTATATAAAGAAAAATAATAGAATGGAATGATTTTTTACAATACATACAATACACCTTAAAGGGTTATGCATAGCTATATTCTGATTTAAAGTTCTGTTTTTGCTGGACCAATGTATCATAATTTATAGAAGTGCTACATCTATAAAATCGTCTAACTGACAATGAATGTGCAGTGAATAGTGTAGAAACCTGATTTTTTTGTGATCTGCTAAAACGGTGTAGGTTCTCTTCAGATTGGTAAGTAAATGGTGCTACACAGATAACTCTCAGTGGCAAAAAGTTTGTACTTCAGCATAGAAACCAAAACAACTCTAAAATGGTTAATTTTTTTACCCATTGTGTCACCAACATTTTTTATGTTGATCTAAATTTATTTAACATAATTGTACTATTAAGGACTTATAATTCGATATATATTCCTATTTCTATTATCATTATATTAGTTTCCCTATATACATTATGCAATTTTCAAATAATTTATAAATTTGTGACTAGAAGTTTAATTTGGTAATACTTGTCTTTAGGGTAAATTAAATTTTACATGTAACATAAATAGAATAGGTATATAATTAATTAAGAATCTAAGATCTTAAACAACATAAAGAGAACAACACTATATCTAACCATACAAAATGGCATATCCACTATTCCAAAGAGCAGTACTTACTACCCACTATTCTAGAGATATATTAGAAAATAAAACCTCAAAAATCTCCTTGTAACACTAGTTAGTATATATGTGATTAATAATAATTTTAAAGGTATTGTAGATAGCCAGAATATAGATAATTAATAAGTTATCAAGAGTTTTGTTTTAATATAAGTTCTGCCACTGATTATCTACCAGACATTGGTTTATTATTAGTCAAACATTTTCAATATTAAATGTACATTTGACCTATAATACCTGCTATAAATAACATGCTTTTCTATTCCCATCACAAAGACTCAAAGTGCTTTTAAAATGTGTTGTTTTATACAATAAATACAGTGTAATATGTGAGCATGACTGTATATATTGTTTATGCTCTGTAATAGATATTTATATCCCAATATTTGTTACAGCCATGCCGCCGGAGAGAAAAGCAAAAGGCAAAGTCGTTTTGGAGCCATTTGTGCATGAAACTGCACAGCCACCACCTGTCCTGACAGGTAAATAATTGTAATTTATTGTGTTCCTATGGACTTATTGACAGGCTGAATATATGTTTGCCATCATTATGTTATTAAAAAAGCATTTAGACCATTTGATAGTCATATACCACAGCCTATGACCATTAAAATTAACTAAGTTTTAATTAAAACTGAATAAGGGGTAAAATAAATAAATAATAGAGGTAGAACAAATGTTATATACAACATGTTAGTAACTTAAATATATGTAATCTTTATATATTTGTATTGTTTTTTTTATTTGTATAACTTATGCATGAATCTACACCAATTTACAGACCCACTTGCTAATGTGGATGCAGAAGATGAACAGGATGCAGGAGTTACCTATTTTGTGGATGAAGAGGGCAGATATTATTACCAACCGGCTGGGGACAATCAGAACCTGGTCTCCTTGTCCACTATAGTTACTGAGGAGCCAGAGGTTGGTAATTTGTATATATAGTTATTAATTTGTAGTCAGCAATGTTTACAATAAAGTTTCTGAACAATTTTGAAATATATAAAAGTATACTAATCATCATTGCCTTGCCTTTATCCCATTATTTGGGGTCAGTGCAGTATGTCAATCTCTCAAATATTGTAAAACAAATATTTTCAAGTTTGTTCTTAAGATTTTATCATTCATAAAGTTGTATGAAGTGAAAATAAATGAATTACCTTACAGCCCCAGATTCTGTTCTATTACAATTTTAGTTGTATATAATGGTTATTTTTTAAATATATTTTATTTTTTAAATATTGTATTTGGTAATACAATTAATATTTGTTATAGATAATTTAACAAAGTACAAGTTTTGAAGCCATTCTAATACAACTGAAGTAATAAGCTGAAAATAAGAACAATAAATCTTGGCAAATTAAGGGTTTAGTATTTTAATAGTTGTATCGCTAGCCCTAACTTAAATATTTTTTCAAGCAGGGTATGCCTAAACAGGAGCAGATGTTAGTCGATGTTGATAGCTACCAGGCAGTGACACTTCTCCCATCAGAATCCAGTACTGGCGAAGTCAGCTATGTCTTGGTGGTACAAGAAGAAAATAAGCCTGTCGTCAATATTGATATCAAGATGGATCAGGTAACAATTTCAAATACTACTTAAATAATTTCAAATGATTACAGAATTGGGATAGTTAATTTATATCTATTAATAAAAAAATAAGTTTTTTTTTATTTTAATAAATGTATTGTGTAGTGAACATACAATAAAAATATTTCATTGACTCATTCATAATTTATTTATTATTATTAGTATTGATACCCTATTTCTTGACTACCATAATTACTTCACTACCAGTTTTATATTGCTATTAATAAAATGTCTATATTTCACAATATTAGGAAGAGGAGAAAGCGAATGAAGATGTATACAACTTTGAGGAAGAAGAGGATCCTGCAGATGATGGTAGTGATGAAGATGATGATGGCAAATTGAAGCCCCCACCCACGAAACGCAAGTATTTGCGGCCACACTTCACTTGCAGCTTCTGTTCATACACCAGCCATAGACGGTAAATATTATCATCCTGCACATGAGATGGATGGAGACACGCCATTACCTATGGTTGCATCTAATCTAACAACTGACTTTGATCTGGCTTTATATAATCACTGACCCTTTTTTCAATTTTTAGGTATTCAGTGAAGGACTCTGTAATATTATAGTAATTTTATAATTAGCTTTAATACTGTTTTTGTAAAATTATATCACAAGTAAATGGACCTACCAACTTTGCCAATAAGTTCGTTAATTTTCTTACATCAAAGATAAAGTTGCGGTTTTTACAACTATTATAGTCTCATATGATTATGGTTTGTTACCAGGTACCTATTATTGCGCCACATGAAGTCTCATTCGGAAGAGCGTCCACATAAGTGCGGCGTGTGCGAGCGCGGATTCAAGACAATATCCTCGTTACAGAACCATGTGAATATGCACAATGGCGTCAAACCACACGTCTGCAAGTACTGCAATAGCCCATTTACTACTTCAGGTAAATATCTAATATTCTGTTTGTTTTCAGTCATAAAAAATATAATTTCCTTATTTTCTATATAAACTGATCTACAATTTTTATAAGATTTTGTCATCTACAAGCAAAAATGTCCTTATTTATTTATTAAGAGTATTTATCTGCAAATCATATCATCGTAGTCAATTTTTGGGTATATTTATGCCAATTAACAAGGTTTAACAAACGAATATGCTATTTGGATGTTACTTTTATTCTTTGATAAAAGTTGTCACAACCCTTCCTGCCTTACCTGATCGTGTCGATCTGCAATAACATGCAGCTTGATTGTGTAGGCGAGCTGGTGCGACACGTCCGATACAAACATACGCACGAGAAGCCGCACAAATGCACAGAGTGTGACTACGCATCCGTCGAGTTGTCTAAACTTCGCAGGCATGTACGCTGCCACACTGGAGAACGACCTTACCAGGTATAGTACGAGATATTTTAGATTTGTATGTTACATATAAATTGCGTCACACGAATTTCAGGACTCTCATCCCTCCCCCTGTGATTGACCCAGGTTGTCACATTTTTAAAAACCCCTTCCCTGAAGTGACGTCACACATTTTATATTAAACAATAATCAAAAGAAAACAGTCATATTATTATTTTCTTATATTTATCAAATATGTTTTAATAAAATCAACATTAAGTCAAATATTTAAAGTACAACTAAAGAAAGTTAGAAAAGCGTGCGAGCACTTGCCATTGAATTAAATCTACTCAAATTTTTACTATACAGAATTCTCGTAAAATTTACGTGTCTTTACTTGCATTACAATGTCGTTCTAGAAATTAAATGTTGCTTGAGAAATAACTCATACCGAAAGTTCTAAAGTATTAAGAAATATAGATTGCGTTAGTGAATATTTAATTTTTTTTTTGTTTACATATAAATTCCGTGTTTGGGCCCGAAACCGTCACTCAGACCCTTGTCACATAATATCACATTGTTTAGAAAGTTTTCATATAGTGCAAATTTATGAAATTTATTTCAGTGTCCTCATTGCACCTATGCATCTCCCGACACGTTCAAACTGAAACGTCATCTGCGTACCCATACTGGGGAGAAACCATACAAATGTGACCACTGCAACATGTGCTTTACTCAATCCAACTCGCTCAAGGCACATAAGCTGATTCACAATGGTATGTGACCATATTGTAATGTAAAAGATGTTGAACAAGTGGGAAGGTAGTGGTATTCACACAGTTCTAATTATACGGAGGAAGAAGGATTTCTACTAAACAATATTATCATTAATAAAATCTTCAATTTTGTAGTATAGGTTTTTTTTGTAAAGGTGTTATAGGGACAATTTAGAATTCACCTTTGATTTTTTTTCCAAAATAATTACAGTATGTATTTTGTGGAACAATCTTATTGTATGTATCATATCATACGTTGTTAATAATCTTATTGCATCTAACTACTGTTTTTGAATTGAATCGATTGTTTTTTTTTTTTACTTAAATGTGAAGTAACATTAAATTTATTACTCACTAAAAATTCGTAGTGAATATTCATATCTGATTATGTGAGTGTAGGTGGTGTGTATTGACGCGTCTCGTCTCGTCGTTACTATTAGTATACATACTACATATGCTACTGTCCTAGTCTGTTAGCATACCCTTTCGGACTAACATTGTACTTCGCCAGTGTCCGAGAAACCGGTGTATGCGTGCGAATTGTGTCCGGCCAAGTGTGGCCGTAAAACGGACCTTCGCATCCACGTACAGAAGCTGCACACGTCCGACAAGCCTCTCAAGTGCACACGTTGCGGGAAGTCTTTCCCTGACAGATACTCCTGCAAAATCCACAAAAAGGTAACATAGTGTGACCCTCACTTAATCATATATAGTTTCACACTAAGTTAGAATCGTATTAGATTTGATAGACAAAATATATGTGACTGATGATTAAAACAACTGGGTCCCGAATTATAATAGTTTTTACAAGAATGGACTTGGAATTGCGATCAGAGGTCATGGAACACGTCATCAATGTGTATAATAATATTGAATGATTACAATCCGTAACTAGCTGTCTTTCAGAACAGAGATCCATAACTAGTTCCTTCCTTCAGAATTTTTATGCACTCTTTACAGTATTGTATATGAATCCGCATCAATAAATAATAATATTTTGACAGACCCACGAAGGCGAGAAATGTTACAAGTGCGAAGTATGCCCCTACGCATCCACCACGCTGCGGCATCTTAAGTCTCACATGCTTAAACATATCGACGAGAAACCGTTTGTCTGCGACCAGTGCGATCAGGCTTTTAGGTTAGTTATCACAATTAATAATGCCATGACACTATAGAATGCATTTTTATTCATTTAACGACAACTATTTAAGTTAGATATTCATTTATTTAATACTAGTATTTCAATCTAATTATAATTAGACTGCAAGGCCTTGTAATACAGAACTACTGTTACTTCCTATTACTGAATTTCTATTTAGTATACATAACATATTTATTTGCAATAATGACAGGGCTGCCCGTCATCAGTCTGTGGAATTGTGTGTGGATAGAATGGCTATAACACCATTTCTCGATCGTCAGTTTGGTTTTTGTTTAGCAGGATGTACCGCAAGTAGGAGAGGATGACTTGGAACACTGGGATGTTTTGCGCTATCTGTTACTTACGATATGCGGCAGTAATTTAAAAATTATTGTATAAAACTATTTCAGACAAAAGCAACTGCTCCGACGACATCAAAATCTATACCATAATCCAGATTATGTACCGAAGCCACCGAAAGAGAAGACCCACACATGCCATGAGTGCAACCGGACTTTCGCGCACAAGGGCAACCTGATCCGGCATCTCGCTGTGCACGATCCTGAATCTGGACACCAGGAAAGGGCGCTAGCATTGAAGCTTGGTCGACAGAAGAAGGTCAAATATATCGACAATGAAAGTCCTAAGGTAAATAATACTTGATTATTGATCTGGATGATATCTATGTGTAATTTGTATTTACGAAAATAACTGTTGACATCTGTCAAGTCTATTATTATCTCTAAGGGAACTAATTGAACTTTAAAGAATATTTATTTAATTTTATATATTAAAACTAAAAATATCGATTTGTAGAAATAGCTATGAATCTTTGTTTCGAATATAAATTCATTGGTATGGGTTCTATTTTGTTATGCGTTAATTTTTAACAATTATTGAAACATGCGAATATGTTATATTTTCTTATCTATCGTTAGCAGCACACAGGAACAACGATGCAAAATATTCTACATGTAAATAGACTAAATATATTCTAGCTAGCGTAGAATTAGTATCAACAACTTACTTTACTGAACAAATTACTTATTCTATTACTCTAAGGCGTAAAACTTGTATTGTATTACATAATATTAACGGCTTCTTTATTGACATTACTTACATTTAATGTGCCATACTATTATCGCAACATAATATTATAGTAATTCAGTTCAAAGGTGTTAACTTTATATTGCATTATTTATAATTATAGCCGGCGTCAGTGGTCGCTTTAGTGCACTGCGTTTACTCGCGATGGTCCAAGTTGAATTCCTCGCACGATGCGAATATTTACAATCATCGGTGTGATTGTTTTTATTGGTCTGGGCGTACGCGACGGTCGCAAGTTAAATTCCTCGCACGATGCGAACATTTGTAATCATCAGTATGATTGTTTGTATTGGTCTGGGCGTTCGCGACGGTCAAAAGATAAATTCCTCAGATGATGCGAATATTTGTAATCATCGGTATGATTGTTTGTATTAGTCTGGGCGTTCGCGACGGTCAAACGATAAATTCCTCAGATGATGCGAATATTTGTAATCATCGGTATGATTGTTTGTATTAGTCTGGGCGTTCGCGACGGTCAAAAGATAAATTCCTTAGATGATGCGAATATTTGTAATCATCGATCTGATTGTTTGTATTAGTCTGGGCGTTCGCGATGGTCAAAAGATAAATTGCTCAGATAATGCGATTATTTGTAATCATCGATCTGATTGTTTGTATTAGTCTGGGCGTTCGCGACGGTCAAAAGATAAATTCCTTAGATGATGCGAATATTTGTAATCATCGATCTGATTGTTTGTATTAGTCTGGGCGTTCGCGATGGTCAAAAGATAAATTGCTCAGATAATGCGAATATTTGTAATCATCGATCTGATTGTTTGTATTGGTCTGGGCGTTCTTGACGGTTACAAGTAAAATTGCTCACATATCGCGAATATTTGTAATCATCGATCTGATTGTTTGTATTGGTCTGTGCGTTCGTGACGGTCACAAGTTAAATTCCTCAGATGATACGAATATTTGTAATCATCGATCTGATTGTTTGTATTGGTCTGTGCGTTCGTGACGGTCACAAGTTAAATTCCTCCGATGATGCGAATATTTGTAATCATCGATCTGATTGCTTGTATTGGTCTGTGCGTTCGTGACGGTCACAAGTTAAATTCCTCCGATGATGCGAATATTTGTAATCATCGATCTGATTGTTTGTATTGGTCTGTGCGTTCGTGACGGTCACAAGTTAAATTCCTCCGATGATGCGAATATTTGTAATCATCGATCTGATTGTTTGTATTGGTCTGTGCGTTCGTGACGGTCACAAGTTAAATTCCTCCGATGATGCGAATATTTGTAATCATCGATCTGATTGTTTGTATTGGTCTGTGCGTTCGTGACGGTCACAAGTTAAATTCCTCCGATGATGCGAATATTTGAAATCATCGGTATGATTGTTTGTATTGGTCTGGGCGTATTCTATGTATATTACTTATGTATTTACAAAAAACGTATTTTAATATTTATATCAGTTATCTAGTACCCATAACTCACATAAGTTCTTCTTAGCTTGGGTTGCTGTGTGTATTCTCCAGGATTTTAATCTATACATATAAATAAAATTGGAGTGTCTGTTTGTAATATTGAAATAACCGTTTTTTACTACCTGCATATGAATATATATAAATACGGTACATACAACAAAATAACATTTTTTTACAATTTTTGTCTGTCTGTTTCGGCTAATCTCTGAAATGGCTGGACCGATTTTAACGGGACTTTTTTGACAGGTAGCTGATGTAATAAGGAGTAACTTAGCTTACTTTTCTGTTAGAATCATAAAGTTAAATTCCACGCGGAGGAAGTCGCGGGAACCGTTGTTATATAAATTGCTGTGCGTCTTAAAACATTAATTATCAACAGGAACATTAGTTATGAATCATATATATCTCGTTAATATATTTTTAATGTAATAATTGTACATCTGTACACTGTAGTTAAGATACGGCAGTGAATTTATAGGGTATTGAATGAATAATGAACCAATTAAAAAAATATATAACTCAAACTCATGAAAATTATAGCCTATCTACATAGTAAAGTTTCATCAAAATCCGTTCAGTAGTTTTTGCTTGAAAAAGTAACAAACATCCATATTCACAAACTTTCGCATTTATAATAATATAAGAAGTTAAAATCTTTAATGTTGATAACACTTACTTACTTTAATTTTATAATTTATTATTAATATCCTTTCAAAATACAAAAATACATAATGGAAGAAAGTGAAATCACAAAGTAAATTTGTAATATACTGTCCTAATATGTGTATATATTTCTGATGCAGCGACTGTTCTACTGCTACCTAATCCGCTGCGACCTCTTACGACCATAGCGAATATAGGCGATGGTTAGCAGTTTAGCACTTACCATTATTGCGAGACATAGACGTCATTGCAGTTGCATAAAAAAACCTTTTTTTTACATATTGTTATTATTTACTTCTGTTAATAAAATGTAACATATTCCAAAGGAATTGTGTTTTGGCCCTGCTTTGCGTTAATTTATAAGTAAAAATAGGAATAAAAAAAGTTGTGAACAACATTTTATAATTTATAATAATTCCGCCTGCGTCACTGCTGTTTACACTGATAAGCTATTGAATATTAAAAATAAATCTTATTAGTATTACCAGTTCTGCGAGAACATAAAGCTAGAACTATCTATCCGGAATTGGCCTAATTTGATTTGGTGCATATTTTAAGTGCTACTCACGTGACAAAGCAAGACCTATCGTTATCTTTGTTATTGTTAGACTCGTCTTCAATTAATTATCGATACACTGAAATAAAAAAACTTCTGCCTATGAAGTAAATATGACTGAAATATTGGTATTGGTTTTGTTCTATGACAGAAAATCTACCTTTAAAGCAGGATTCCTGGAAAAAGTCCGTTTGCCTCGAAGATATCGTGAAACATACAATACTCATTAATTTGAAAAACTGCGTTAATTGTTACAGTATGTATATATATTATAATAAAATCATGCATTCGCGATAGTGATCACTATTGTCAACTGATAAATTAAATAATGGAACAAAGCTGGTGTAAGCTGTGTGTGGTTACTGCTACACTACACCCTCATTTTTGCGACGCGTAGACATGCATGGAGTATAATCAGAAAATATTTCTTTTTGCAATTTTATAATATTGTAACTTTAGTGGAATAGTAATTTGCGAATTTACTCTTATATATAAAGTAACACGCATTATATTGTATATACTAATACTGTCTGTAAAGCGAAACTCTTTAATTTTTTTTGTTTATTTAAATTCGATAAATTTATTAAATACGGCAAAAGAAGACAAATAAATAAAACAAAGATAACTAATAAACAAAATTTCAAATATCAATAATCTACATTAAATGAAATAAATCCAGAGAGTAAAGTAGACTGTATTTAACGTGAGAAGCTGCGCGGTATAGCAGTAAGTACTAGCAGCTTGTAACTATACCTTACAAATGACGAATTTGCCAACGTTTTTGTGCGAGTTTCATACCAATACTTTTTCTATTTGCTATATGCACCTTTTGGCTGCGAGAGAGGATTATAAATAAATAAAAAAAGCCTTTTATTTCCTAAAATGACAAGAATAATACATGCGAGAAAAGATTGCGTTATAATAAGATTCGTATAATTTATGTTTAAATTAGTAAAATATATTGTTACTTGACTAACAAAACATTTGTAATCGTTTAATTAGAAACAGGTATTCTGTACCTAATTATTAAACAAGCTAATCCTGTACTCCTTATAATATAGCTAGTATGAGTAAATAACAAAATCGCACAGTCGGATGTATGAGCAATTATCATAAGGATACACATTTTGCCAGGAACCTTGACATTTAATACTAGACTGAATTAAACAAGTTTTATAACAATTTTATAAAAACTTTTTAAAACGTATCATGGACTACTAATATTTTTTTATATTATGTTAGTAGTTTATGATGTAGTAACGCGTGGAGGTCGACCTAATGGCTTCATTGCGAATTGAATCTTTTCTTACTTCATATTTTACATTGTAGAGAAAGTAGTGAATAAAATAAACGTTGGTTATTATTATGGAAGATCACCATTACCACAATGATTATCTCAATAAAGCACTACCTATATATAGGTATCTAGTATACGTTAACCAAGAGCTTATTAAACTATTTAAAATAAAAGCACCTGTGTGTGTGATATTTGCGATAGGATAAGGTAGTTAGTTACCAAATTGTAAGAAATTTAGTTAATTGGCAACACTATTTGAGTAACGGGCAATGTCAGACCGTAAAAAAATATTATAAAGACAACCATTTTTATGATCTGATCAAATAGTTCTTAGTTCCTAAATTGAAATAGAATAGCTGATGTTAAAGCTGTGTCTATTGTTATTATCGTAATATTATATGACAACTTTCAGCCCAGTTTTCTCGAAAATAATTTAGATTTTAGGGCAAGTTATAGAACAAAATTTATTTGTTAATTATGGGTACTTTCGTATTCTTGCGACTTAGTACCCTTATATCCTTTCCATCTACCCCTGTATGTATAATTAAACCTTAAAAGTCCGATATAAGTGTTTCTCGTATTTTTTTAAAGAATTTAATAATAACTTTGGGAAATACATACAGCGAATTACGGGAGACGCATCCGACTTAAATTTAATGTAATAATAAAATACTACATTCTTAGTAACTAAAATAAGTCACACTTATTTACCGTTCACCGAACAAACTTTTAATACAAACCACAGTTTTGCTCAGTGTTTTACAGATTTATTATGAATTTTACAATGTTCCAATTTCAATATCCAACTACTATATTGTAAGAGGGACATTGCGGCCTCGTTCATTCGTGCAAGCTCTTCAAAACACTGTGTACTACAAATGTAGTATATCAGTATAGTAGCACTTTATAATTCCAAGCTAAGAAGCAGGCTTCTGTTATGGATACTAAACTACTAATAGAATATATTTCTGTAAATACTAGCAAAATATACATAGAAAACACTCAGATCAATACAAACAATTATGTTATAAAATAGAAACCACGCAAGGAATCAAAACCCGTGACTATCGGAGTTAAGGCGGTGTACCAAATGGCATAGCCACCGAGGCCGTCTATATTTCTAGACATATTATTCTTATTTTACTTCCCTCTATTCTATATCTATTAATATTGATTTAATTAGTCGTATTAATTTAATCAATATTAATGTAGGATTTTTTGTGGGTCCAAATGTGTAATTGTTCATTGCTTCGTACAGGAACTAATGGAAGTGGAATCAGATACCGAGCAGTCGGAAATGGTGAAATTGGGTCTGAATGAGCTTCAACGCGGCGAGGTAGTAACAGTTACGCATGGTGACGGCCAACAGTATGTGGTTCTCGAGGTGATCCAATTAGAGGACGGCACAGAACAGCAGGTCACGGTCGACGCGCCAGACTTTACCGACGAAGAACATGGTGAGTTTAAAATGAATAAAATATAAAAGTAATGCAACAAATTTTGTGTAGTATCTCTAGTATTATCTGGAAGTTTGATTATAAATTCAAATGTTAAAAAACTAAAATTTCTGGAAATAATAGTATATTAAATATTAATAGTTGCGTCCAAAACAAATAAGCCGAAAAATTCTAAAAAAAAATTTCAAATTAGAAATGAAAGAATTGTTTAAAATTAATATAATAAATTAAAGAAAAATCTTAAGAGATTTGTCATTTCGTAGTAGAGAGTCAATGACGTGAATAAGTGTAATTGTGTAACATATTATTTGTATATATATCCAGAACCAGAAGGCGACGATGAAGATGATGAACACCCGAATTTTATAAAGCAAGAGAGGACCAGGCGAGAACTGGAGGCCAGTAGTAACATCAAGATTGAAACGGACGTGGACACATGCTTTGGCTTTGATGTTAGTACTCAGAATACTATTAATATTTGTATTGCCTAAACCAAACGGTTTGGTGTATTATTGATATAAAGTATAAAAATCAATGAGTAATGGACTTTTAGTTTTGCCATACATATGCATGCATCTAGTACATGGTATACAGAAAATAGTATAGACCACAGCCGAGTAAGTCACAAGTCGTACCAGTGCGTATTCAAAATAACAGTAATGTAACATTTTTGTTTGCAAACCAACCGGAATAAACAAATAATTTTAATTGAAGTTTTACATGATTTATGTAAACAGTAACGAAATCGAAAAAGCAGTTTCAATAATTGATAATTTCACAGGAGGAAGAAGAAACCGAAGAAGATGAAGCGTACAACGACAAAATGGTGCTTCGCTTTGTGTGAACTGTTCCAGTTGGTTATGGGCACAAACCTGGGAGACAATGTCCTCATGGGCATAATGCTGCTGGTTATATTCTAAGGCCACATTGCAGCAATCCAACATTCAGTAAAGACACTACCAAGTTAGGAGGGTACATTCAATTTATTTATTTATTCTACATGCACATCAGCCCATATGAGAGGCTAAACGCGGATACTACATAGTAGGATTTAATTATTTATAATAATTTGTAATATCATCACATCACATCACAAAGAACACAAACGGGTAAGAACTATGCGCGTCGAGGATGACCGATCACACGACAAAGTGAATGATCGCGCTATGTTATAATTAGTTGGAATATAAAAACTATCCTCGAATTACCTACGGAATTTGTGCAATCTTTATACAATTATGTTCTGTTCAAGCTTTTGCTTTAGCAATAATAATATTTTTTTTTACGTTTTATTGGCGTAGTGAATAAAAACTGTCCTTGTTAAAGAAGAACTAGATAATGTGATTATGAGATATTTCATGGTAAAAGCATAATAATATTTATTATAAAAAACTATTAGCAAGGAATGTTTTTATATTTTTAGTATTGTTCTCCCAAGTTCAAGAGTTCCAGGTCAATCGCAATTAAATTGGACATTGATCTCTCAAATCGTAGTTTTATAAATACTACAATGATGTGAATAGATATTAGAAATGGATGCATGTTTTGCGCGTGGGTTGTACAGAATTATTAATGTATTATATTGTTTTATTAAATGTACAATAAGATGCGAACTTGGTAGGTATTGTGTATTAAATCATGTTACAAAATATAAAGAAGTGGTAATCATTTAAAATATTAAGTGAGCTACGGATATTGACCAATAAACAATATTTATTATAAAAATATATAGAAAACCCTCGCTGTTAAAATGGTTTCACCATATTAAATGTATATACAGTAGAATCCTTTATAATGACATCGTAGATAAATAACACTTCATACAAGGCATTTTGTAAAAAAGAAAGTCTGTTTTTGTTAGTATGTATTTATTTTAATAGAGAGAAATAAAATAGATATAAATCAAAACTACGTAACACGTACATAGGTATGTATATTTTTTCATTATTTACTTAAGAAATCTTGACTTAAAATACTTGTTTGGTTTTCTTTCCTTATATTGTAATAATAGTTTGTAATACTATTGTGTAAAGAAGACAACACCATCGTCAAATTATTGATATTGCTATGAACAAATCGAGATAATAATTCTGCGGCCACAAACTCAAAACTAAAGTAGACATGCACGCGCCGAACGTCGTCGGGTATCACGTGACTTTCCCGATAGCTGGCGCAGGTATTAGGAATCATGTGGGTCATTATACTGGACGCAATTTATAAAAACTGGGTCACAATAAGCGGCATGTCACTATAAGCAAAATCTTTATATCAGACTTAGTTATAAACAATTTTATATGTAAACAAAACTTCGCTATGTAGTTACTTAGAAAATTTGTCATAGTCATATGATTTCAATATTGTGTTCATTATCCAGTCTTTTTGTGGGATGGGGAACATAATGTTAAAATCTGTACAAGCAGTTTCTACTGTTACCCGAAAGTTTACTTTCGGCAGGCTTCCTCATAAAAATGTACTTATAAAAATCCATTGCTCACACTATACATTTTTTAAAAATAATCAATCTTTTTACATTTAAAATATATATATACTTATTAACATTATTCAGTCGGAGTATAAGTGTTTGGTGTAAATATAATTATAAAGAACGCATACTTTATTGCCACACTGTAACACAATTTGGTTTATTATTTTGTTGGTAGTAGCAACAAATAATAAACAACTATAAAATTTGGTAACAAATGCTTCACGGGGTACTTTTTATAGAATATACATAACCCCCTACTAGTAAACGCTAAATAAAACTGTAATTAATATAAAGATGATATTTTTTAAGAATTTACATTAATTTCAAATTAGTTTCTAATAGGTTTGTCTGTGAGAGTGAACCGTGTAATTTTACTATTAGGGGGAAGTGTCGTAATTTAAATTTAATGAAGATAAATGTATCACAGCTTATAAATGAATAGTTATACCCAATACCTACATTTATTTATACAATAACTCTATTATCTATAAATAGTGAATATACCGTTATTTAAAATATACCTCATTTGTACTTATGCCCGTGGCTCAATGGTCGAAGTCTGGTATTTCATAGCACAGGGTAACCAAGGTTAGGAAGTAATAGGCATGATGACTATGTTTTAATAACTATTCAATATATGTTATTTTTACATTAATTATATTTTGGAGTCGATTTCTAATAATATTATTAGCATAATATAATAAGGTTCATTTAATTATTCGCCATTAATATAATGATAATATTTATTTATTTAATATTAATATATTTAAAAAGCAATACTTTGAACGGGTTGATGGCGATTTGCCTCCGCTGCAGAGAATACTTTCTTTAGTCAATAATGTTCTGTATATGATAGAGAACTGTATTATTTGGAAGAGAATGACAGAGAAAAAGAGATTCTACTATTGTTTATCAATATTAACATTTTGTCTGTGTATTAAAATGTACACTTATTTCAAACCGATATCATAAACTTATTTCTACTGTCGTCATGCCTATTAATGTAATTATTGCGGCACTTATAGTTTGTAAATGTCTATTTTGTTCTACCTAATACATTATATGTCTGGTCCACCAAATTAAGTTTAATTAATTAAGTATTTGTGAGGAATAATATTAATGCTATGATCTCTGATTGCCTATAATTTTAAAGTCATTGGTGTTGTAATACTAAATAATTTAAATCATATATCATCCATTTATTCGTCTTATGATTTTTTTTGCTTATAATGCATGGAGTAAATTAATAAGTATATATAATAGTATAGTACTAATATAGGTGCGTTATGACGGTTATAACACACACGGCGGAATTTCAGCCCCAGCCGAAAACAAGGGCGCAATATAGCCGAGTGTGTTAAATACGCACGTATATCGTACGACGATTTTGAACACACTTGAGTTTAACACAACACACAGAAGCCTCATGAAATATCGAAATGTTATATATATAGTTACAAAAAACACGTTATAATATAATACATAATAGTCACCAATTTACACGTTCATATATATATATAAAATTGTTTCTGTGTGTAAAACTCAACCATAAATTGTTTTAAAAAATTTTTAATCGCGATGTCTATTGGCTGGCGGAGCGCGACGGGCAGTGCGAAATTTGTAAAAAAGCTCGTGCGGTTATGGAATATAACTTCACTTTAATCTATATGAGCTGATTGAAAACATGTATAATTAGATTTTTTTTACCACTTTACGAGCAAGTGTGTTGATAATCAATAAATATATTTATTTGCTCACATATATTCACAACTAAAGGACCATCGCGCCTCATTTAGAATTATTTAAACAAAACAATTATGTAAGCAAAACAATTGTTCAATTAGTAAAAATCACGGTATCTACCACGTTTCATTCTATTGAGTTTTCGATATTTCGGCAATGTTTCAACCGCCGTGATTTGTACTAATTATTATATGTATAAGTAAGGACCGCGTCAGTATATAATTGTTTGATTATCGGTATACTGTAAGTGCTATGAACCGTTTTGTATACGAGGGGCGAGGTGATTAGCACACAAAATTGTTATTGTATCTGTCTGTGTATAAATGTCGTCTTACTTCATTGACGTGCTATAGACATCTATATTTCTGTTCGCCCGCAAGAAGTGCCCGAAGATTTAACTCTACAAAATTACTTTAAACATAAATATTTAAGTAATTATTTATTTTTATTTTAAATATAATTTACTGCCTTTAATTCAAAAGTACATATAGTAAACACAATTTGCGGTAGATTGATGAAATTGTTACAATATAATATAATGTATATAAGTAAACATCGCTTACAACTGGTGTCGTACTTAAAAGTTTAGTAGTAGTTAAGATATTGTTGGCTTTCTTACACAAATATTGTTTAATGCAAAATTTAAATTTAATCATAAGATAAGTAATGATTGATAGATAATATATGCATAGAATTAATTCCAGAAGGAAAAGCCACGTATCACGCACGTACGTAAGAGTTTCATTCATTGTACTACTGAGCAAACATACAATGCGTTTGCAGCTCTGAACAAGCGCGCGACGCGCGTCATTAGGTCGAGTGCTGCCTCATAACAAAACTAATGACATCGGCCCCGGCTTGAACGTGGTAATCAAGTCCAATTTTAAATACTTAAGAAAGGACCACCCACTTGCAGCACTATATCTGCAATTATCTCTACCCTAATGGGGACCTTCCCCATTCATAAAAATTAAAAAATAGAAATGGGTCTTAAATTGAACCTTCAGCAACGCGTGTCTTAATATTGGCTCCTTCAGACTTTACAATTCTCAATATCTACAGTTTGGATCCTATTCTCTAAATATTTTTTCATTTAATTGTAGGTTATTATCTCTCATACCATAATGTTCGAGTTTGAACAAAAGTGTCGTATGATCAAATGCCTTTGATAGGTCACAAGAAACTCCGATTAGATGATTCAAATATATGTGTTGTGTTATAAGCACTACACCTGCGTCATTTGCCGGCGGTGTAACAGTATTTCTGACTGTGAAGCGGTCCGTTAACCCTGAAACGTTGTAGCATTTGCTTAAACATAATCTTTTCAAATACCTAACTTAATCTGGCAAAATAGATGTTTTGCCAGATTAAGTTAGGTATTTGATTAAGTTAGGTAATAATAGCTCACTAGGGACTATGGACTTATATCTATAAGTCCATAGTCCCTAGTGAGCTATTTATTTTTTTATTTAAATAGTGGAATTAATTTGCTAATTTTCATTAGTTGTGGAAAAACGGCTTTATCAATACATTATATTATATGTGTAATATGTACAGAACCGAAATAAATTTCGCTTGAAAAGACCTCTGGACACAGCTAGTTGTATATAAATAAATACCACCACTCGGACACTTCTTACACGTTATATATAGTTTCTTTATAATACGTCAATGTAATATCCTTTCAATAATGGAACAATGTAAGCTCTACTCTCATTTATAGTTAACGGTTCTGATTTAAGTATTTTTTTCTAGATGTTCATTCATATTTACATTTTTGCGTCCCAACATAGTTTTTCGTTCGTCCAAATGTTTATATTTTGTACCTCAATTTATTTTTCATCCATACTTGTGTAATTATTATCAATTTATAAGATATTAAAAAATATATAGCAAATATATTGCTAATTGATAACAAAATTAAATGTCGAGTTCCATTCAAACACACACAATTCAATAAAAACAAACGAATATATTTACAACACAAAAAAAAATTGTGTTGTTTCTTTGTAACATAATTTATTTCAAGGTTTCCCAAATATGCAGCAATATATATAATTTTCATTGTCAAAACGAAAACCTACTTCCCGGCACCGTACTCTGAAAATCTTTGTGTGAAGATTATACAAATGTTAAATAACCGTCCAGTGAAATATTTTGTATGGAGCAATTTAATTAACGTCAATGTTCTGTGCGTATAAAAAAATTTGGTTGATTATGCACATAGGTCATTGTTTTGTTTTGTTTTTTCACAGTACGGTGACGAGACGACGAGAATTAATGTAAATAAATGTAATTATACACAAAAAGTAGAGAGAAATCAGTTCGCTGAGATAACTTATGTACGAAAGTAGTGCTTTTTTTCACAAGACATGCGCAGACGAAGGACAATCCTTAGCGTACCTATAGTGTATGTCCATCATAATACAACAGAAATAACAGGATTGTATGCTATAGCGTGCAATCCATACGTATCCGCAGGGGCGGATCGTGAATTTGTGGGGCCCTGGGCTAAATCTTAGGGACCTACCTACCGTACCTAATTATATCACTCAACTAAAAAAATACACCACCAAAACAAGCGACCAGAATTCCCCGTTCCTTTCGATAGACTCCCACTTGCATGGGTCAATTCATCTTAGGGTTGCCAACCTTATGATGGTTTTTAACATTCTAAATAATTTTTAAATTCTAAATATCGTTTCAGTGGGAAGGGGGGTCCCCTTGATATCCTCGGGGCCCTGGGCTGCAGCCCAAAAAGCCCTTAGGTAGATCCGCCCCTGCGTATCCGTGTACACGAGATATGTATAAACTGCCCACAAAAAATTCCTCGTCTGCGTAGGCCAAGATTAACATTCTTACTGTAGTGGTATAATTATGTAAAAACAAAATTTTATTAAAATTGTTGTTTAGTTTTTTAGTGTATAATATAGAATATGATTAGATATGAAGAGGTAAGGGAAGAATAGATCGTAATCTTAATATTAATGAATTAAAAGAATTGAAATATCAAACAATTGTTTCTTTTATTGTATGGTCAAGCAATTATATCAGTTAAAAGAAAACATTTACTGTACTAAAAATATTTTTAACATTTACGCACAAAATGTAGTTAACATTACCATGCTACATGCTAGAGACCCACCTGATGGTAAGTGGAAAGCGTCGTCTACAATATCTATGATACGAACACGGACTTATTTATTTTATTTTATTCTTTATTACACTTTTAAAATTTGTACAATTTGGCGAGCTTAATGCCATATACTTATCGTCATATTGTTATGCTCCCTTGCGAAAGACTGCTTCGGTACCCGGTGTAATTTTAGTCTTATCGTATTATTATTTCTGTTGAATGGTGATTTACTCTTAATTTTATGTACATTTATAAACGCCGTCCATTATAATTTGTAAATTAATTAGTGACAGCTGATGGAGTATTCAAAATATTAATTTACCCCTTTAGGGGCTATTTATTCCACATGTGAAGTCCTCAGCTGCTACGGTATAGGCGCTGCAGATACATCGTGTGGAGTTTAGTGGTTAAAAATCCCACACACCACCTCGCCATCCCTTAGGCGGCATGAATGTCTTTTCAAGATTTTCTATAAGTTAAAAAAAGAGGCTATTATTCTAAGACATAAATCTAGATGTTGACCCACATTCAACATTCGTAATTTCATCAATCTTTTTTAAATGGAACTTTAACACACCAATAAACAGGCAGTTTTTGTACGGCTCGTCAAATTTTTATTATGTTTAAATGGAAAGGTTGTACTAATAAAACAGCTGATTTACTTATAAAATCTATAATTTTATAAAACACTAAAACGTTTCACTAGTATTAGATAATTAAAATTTACCACATCTATATAATCAATTCCAGTTTATATATAATAAAGCTAAATTGAATACTATGATTATAACTAACAAAGTATGACCCAATTGAGCTATAAATTTAACTATTTATGGTCTTTGAAAACGAGAAAATTTACTCGGCGTACATTTTTCTTCAATTTGTATTCTTTTAATTTTTTTCATTATTCTTATTCAAAAGAATATGTTGTTTCTTATCGTTTTATGTGTGCATCACATAAACCTACAATTCTAAGATAACTATGATGTGAATTAAGACTAAATGGTCTTGTCACATACATACAGCATTATTTGTTTATGAAAACGTTCAATAACCAATGTAAACCGATTATAAATAATTTCTAAAGTTTAGCCGACGAGAAAAAATTGCACAAGTATGATTAGTAACGGTTACACTATATCTAACGAAGTTTAAATAGTGAAGTCTACATGTTAAACAAATTTTGGTTTTGATATTGATTAGCAGGCACTGTAAATTATTATTTTTCTTATGTCTAGGCTAGTCTTTTAGTTTCTTAGTATTGCATTGGAGACTGAAGAATTGAATGAAGTATCTACAAATTACTCTATTGGGTAGGTACATAATAATGGTTAAATTCAATTAACCTAATAGTACAGATTGTATATAACTACGACTAAATATATTAGATACGTTGTTCATTATCATTGTATGGTGGTAGTGCTGATATATTAATAATAGAATAAAAGTTTTAATCAATGACTGTTATTAACTGTTATTAATAACGGAAATTAAAATGTATGAACCGATATATATGTCATTGTGGTCTTCTACAATTTATTATGGTCTACACTTTGACTTAGAGAAGACATTTTTATTTTACAACTTGAATTAGTTTTACTCCAATTACAAATAAACAAAAATGTTAGGTGTTTATACCGGGGCTCGATAGATTTGAACACAAAACGCACGTGAATGTCATTAGATAGTCACAGATAATATATTGAATTAAAACTGTAAATATGCAGCGACCATCAATATAAACTAGTATACAAACTGATTTAAAAAAAAATATTAGTGAAGTGATATGTTGCCACCATAAGATCAGATATTCTACAGAGATTTCTAACCTTACCCAATGGATCACCACTCTTGCTGTTACGTATGAAAATATAATGTAACATACTGTTTAATACGTATTATTAACATTATAAAACAAAATAATCTTTATTGCTTAAAGTAATAAAAATTAATGATTGGGTCATTCAGTCGTTCATTTACATAACATAGTTAGGTTATGTTGTATTATTTTATTTAGTTTGCAAATCGCCAGATGATCGCTTTAATAATAGGCACTATACCAATATATTCATTTATATTATCATACAGCACCTATCCAAGGGATTTAAATTTTGAATAGCGGCTAAAATGTTCTACATGAATATTGATTTTTGTATATTATAAATTATATTAACAGAGAATAACAAATTAAAGCTTTTACGGCTGAAATAGTTTTATTATATCTACTGAATTGAAAAAACTGACGATTAAATTGAGCCCATTTAATACATTTACTTCACCAATTTTGTAGCAATAACAAATGATACAAATATTTGTACGACATAGTATTCGTTGCAAAACCTATATTACAGGATCGACAGCACATATTAGGTCTTTAATTAGTTCCGGAAAAAGAGTTAAGACACTTAAATTTTAGTCGCCTATTGTGTTCGATATACAATAATATAATATTATTTATTATGCGTATCGTATAAAACAAAATAACAGTAAGGTGCTCCATCTTACTGTTATCCATTTTATTTATACGCGTACATATAATACTAAAATACTACAGAGAATATATTTATACTCTAAACATTATAATAATTTAATCTCACTATTAGTTGGAAATTCATAGGCAAATAATGTTTTATGCTAAAATTATTACATATTTACTTTAATTAGTTGTAATTTAAATACGAGCTTGTTTTAAAATTGCAGAAGAAACTATCCATAACGATTCGAACAATACAACATGCATGATTGAGATTGAGTTCAGCTCGTCTAGATCTTCAGAGTACAAATGGAAGGAACATAATTTCATTCTTTTATTCCTGCGTATGTCCTATAAGGTATCATTGAGGAGTAAATGTTAAACACTTTATATCCATAATAAAAGTAGTTAGCATCTTATATAAACATTTTGCTAGATATAGTTCAATATATTTCATAATGTAACGTAACGTAATATAACCCTTATCAACATCGTAATAATAATAGGCACAATAATGTGAAAGTATAGAAATATTTAAAATACAATAACATTCCATTATAGCTAACATTTGGTGCTAACATTTAAAACGTTAAAATTGTAAAACGATTTGCAATAATTATAAATATACTATTAATTAATGAAGTAGTAAATTAATTCATCTATTATATCCTTGTATAATTAACTAAAATCATTAATAAATGTATAATAAATAAAAATGTAAATGGTTTCAAGTAAATATGTAAAATTATATTACAATTAACCTAGCTAACCTAATAGTCGATGACTTTAGAGAAATATTAAAATTAATGATTTAATATTTTTTCGTATAGTAAATACATCATGTGGTTTAAAAATCCTACTTATGTTAATTCACAATAATTATTCTTAATTAAAGGCCTTACGTTATCAGTGAATACTCTTATAGAAGTATCTAATAAGTATTATAGGGATATACGAAATACACAAATTCTGAACAATAATTTGCTAAATCATTGTGAATTTTACATTGGTGTTATATTGTTTTCATATGACAATGGTTCGAAAAATCTTAAACGACAAACGTAATTATTATTATTACTATTACTATAGCTTATTCTGTAAATTTTATATGGCAGTGGCATAAATAATATGGTTGTTTAAAATACTTCGTTTAGAATTTATGTCGATATAGCTATGGCAAATAATAAGCAAACTCTGCAGCATTAGTAATTCGAATAGATTATTTTTGAGGAAAATCAACAGAGTTGTCTTTATTACGTAATTAATTATTTGTTATTTAAGTTATCGTTGTGAGCACTCTAATACCTTAGGTATCTTAGGTATTATATAAATATAATAACTAATTAAAATTATATAATAACCATCATTACATATATATGATATTGCACACAACTGTACTGTAATAAATGATTTAGAAAATTGACATAACAGTTATTTGTAACGACTTTATGTACTGCAGTGATTAATATTAATAATTTATGATGTATAACGGTATCTTTTATTTACATTATTAAAATCTATATATGAAGTAAACATTGGCAGTGACATAAGGCCTTGGCGGGTATTGGAACTCCTCGGACACGTATTGTCCGAGAATTTCTGATATCCACCGCGGTTCCGGTACATTTCGTATATATTTTATGCCAGAACCCACTACAAATTACAATTCTTGGGTCTGGAATAAAATATATTGCTTATTGTAATTTTCAGCAAGTGTATATACTTTTTAATAGTTTTAAAAATGTCGGTCATAGGCGGCACATTTTTGTAATATATTTTTTTGAAATAGGAACACTTCTTTTTATTATTTTATTGCATATAAATTATTTTATTGCTGCAATTCTGTATTCGAGATTTAAATCGAATTAACGTCTTTGTATGTTGTGAATATCATAGAACTAAAAACGCAGTGATTTCTTGCAGAGTGCATAAAACCGTGTTACTGCTAATCGCAGCTACTATATTTTGAGATTATAGTGCAAGTCGTGGTGTACGCCTTGCGCGGCATCTGGTGCTCTGATGTCAGCTAACAGGGCTGCTGTCAGGTTCTCTTGCTCCTTCAGTCTCTTAACAAGGGGCTCCCAAGAACCATAGTTCAATTCCATTAGTTGCACAGCTTTTTTCATTATTTTGTGAGCTTCTAAACACCAATCCCTGAATAAGTTAAAAAACGGATACTTAACTATAGAGCAATCAGGCACCAAAGCGTCAATCAAAAAAGAATCAAACATTTGTATTCAAATATCTGGGTGTTGTCTATGTATTTTATGTATATATTATTAGGGGGAAGGGGTAGTTAGTAATGCGGACTGTTTACCCCACTGCTAGGAAAGTACCGCCAACGCAATTCCCCTCCCCCCCGTGCAGGCATCCATTATCATCCATAAAAAATATAATTTGTCACCTGTAATCTGGATTCTGCGGTGATCGGATGATACGTTCCAGCATCACTTCAGAGAGTTTTCTCAATTCGTGGGCCACCTGCAAACAGACAATGTTAACTACAACTCTGAACTAAAGATAGCTAAATATCCGAAGTAGTGAACAAGAAAATGTTCTAAAGAATTAGTATGTAAAATTTCAGATATATTTTACAATATTTAGAAACTATTATTAATAATATAGGTATTACAATGCGTGAACTACTATTATCGTACTATTATCCCCGCTTTATATCTATACATTGTATTGTATCTGCAAATAAGCAAACGACTAGACAAACATAGAATATTTACGTGCGATATACACAGAGTTTATTTCGGCGACCATTTTGTTATTATAGTGATGGATTATTAACTCATTTACATAATACTCACCTCAACACTGAATGAACCAAACTGGTACTCCAAACTCTGAATGTTATGTTTTATCAACTCCACGCTTTTATTGAATTCACCTGAAACATTAAACATTATTAAGTCCTGGACTAAGGCATTTATGCCGTGAACTTCAGGCAACTGATATATGCTGCTTATACGAGTACTTAGTTGAAACGTCAGGGAAGGTACCTTTATTTACCATCCATATATTTACTTCCAGTCAATTTCAGTTATGTTTACCTCCTTGTCACATGGGAACTTATATTATTTGTTATAATTGAATGATATTACGAATATAAAACGACCAGAAAGGTGGAAAACGACCTAGATTTTATGATTTTTTACATTATTTTTGTGACTTCTAAGCCTAATAAGCTTATAAAGCAATGTCAGACATAGACGATCCTTCCCCTTAAAGTGTGATAAATTCACGAATGGACACAGATGGTAGAATGTTAAAAAATCTTTTCATAACGCACCAACATCTGCGTACAGCCTCGCCAGTTTGTCGGCAGTGGCACGCAATGACACGTGATGTTTATGCCACACCTGCTGCTTCATTCGGAATGCCACTTGTGTTCTCTCACAGCGCTGCTCTATGGATAAACATCGTTCGGCTGGAAGGCAACATTATCGACAACGTTAATTATTCATATTCAACATTTTATTAATCATAATCAACAATATTTTATTAATGATAATCGACATTTTGATTATTACGTCTCTGTACCTGTAATTATAATATTTTAGTATTATACAAGCATTTCATACATAAAGATAAAAGTAGTTTTTACTACTACGTATGCAAACTTTATCTAAAGTGATACCATATGCTACGTCAATATCTATAAGTTTCCGTTTTATGATCTTATAAAATCTGTTAGGTCAAATTTTTTTTCTTGTATTTGCAATGTAGAAGAATTTTTGAAAAATATTGACAGTTTAAAAATCATCGATACAACGAATGTAATTTGTATATATATACTAGCCGTGACTGCGACTTTGTTTGCGTTTTTTGGGTAACTTGAACCCCTTACGCAGACCACGCAACGGAAGCCCTCAAATATGAATAACCCGTCCCCGTTTTGCAATATTTTTCACTGACGATTAACTTCTATTGGTCGTAGCGTAATGTTATATAGATTAAAGCCTTCCAATACATTTGTCGAGGAATGCTTTAAAAGAAAAAATAATTTTGTAAATAAATAAATAAACTGGCTTTAAAAAACGATATTCAGTGGAATGTTCTCAATTGAATCTGTATCCTGAACTAGACTGTAGAAAAAAAAATACTTGACGTTCATAAGCGGCTAAAATGTACTATTTCAATAAATTATTTATGATTTCCTGAAATTGAATTTGTTTTTTTTGCCTTCAAATTTAAATAAAAATGTCTATATATAAAAGAGATTACCTTGTGAAAGTAACTCGTCGGCTTGCTCTATAGTTGCCAGTGCCCGGTCCAGTTGGAAATCAGCGTTGCATTGTTGACAGTGAGCTCGCCGCCCGTTAAATACTACTGGACCCTTGCAAGATTGACACGCGTAGGCGGTAAATAGTAGCTGAAAATTAATAGTAACATTTATTTAATTGTTTGGACATTGTCAGCTCGCGCGACCGGAGTCCGGTAGGAATGCTGCGGGGCGCGGTTTGAGGGGTGTGCGAATAGCACCGAACCCGTTGCCCACTCTTCACGGTGCGTTCAACCGCTGCACCATCGAGGCCGTCAATAATATAAACATGTAAAAGAAACTTACAACGAAGTCCCTGCGCTGTGTGTCACAACAAGCTGTACATGTGCAGTTAAACATGTACTGAGCTCGTAGCTGCGCCCGGCGGTGCGAAGTCGGTTCACGCGCCTTGTGTGGACCGTAGCAGTTGAACACTTCGCTGCCGGCTGGCAGTTCGCGGGAGCAACGGATTATTAGACGGCAGTTGTAAAACCTACAATGTTTGCCATTATATTATTATATTCCAATTCTATAAAAAAGATCTGTAAAGTGGTATAAGAAGCAATTCAATAAAAGAGAATCTTTGAAGTAATTTAAGAAGCAATGAATATTGAAATTGATTTCAATAAATCTAGATCTTTTCTTTCCAACACACAATCATCAGAAACGTTTCAAAATTATCTGCTATGAAGTGTCATTAGAGTAAATATTTGGATCATGAGAGTTTCTAAAACACTGAAGAAGAGAAGGAAGAAATTACATATTAAAGACAAATTTATTAGAAATTAATGAATCGCTTTGATTCACCCTAAAACCCATTAAACGTATTTATAGAAGTGGATAGTATACTTACGTATTGATAATGTTGGGATCGCACGAATGATTCATCATGGCGGCGGACGGGTATATAGCGGTCGCGCGACGGACTTCTCTCTCACTCACTGTACGACCTATATATGATAATAATAACAATAAAGTGCAAAAACTATAATATCTACACTATAATCCGATACACACATTTCTCTGTCACGCTGGTTTCAAATATAATATAGAAGGGCAATATGGGCATGTCAAGTCAGTACGCTATGGGACACAGTTACGTAAATACTTAAAGGTAATACTTACAATTAAATAAGACCAGTATGGCAATATAAATATTGTCTACGAAGCACTGCACAATCCGTATCACTCCTTATAATTCACTATTGTTAAATAACAATAGTAAATTATAAGGAGTGATACGGATGTATATTAATATATGATATTAAACTAAATAGTTTATAAGATCAATATTTTAATATACATTTCAAATTAACAAACAGGTACATGTATTTACATACAATCAATCACAAGAACATCCTCCTTTTTTGAGGATTGTGAAAAATAGGGCTAATATGCAATTGATTTACCAAAAATATTTACTAGTATAGAGAACGTCTATTTTACATTCATAAGGGTCGTTTAATTTGTATAATAGTAGATGGTAGCATTCTTACCGGTAGCATCGCCTTCTTCGACAGTCGCAAGACTGAGTGCAGCGTGGCCATTGCAGACGAGCTGCCCAAGACTTCGTAGTATAATAGCAGCTGACAGCAGACGCAGTTGCCCATCAGACAGAGCATGTGGCACTCTTGACGGTAGGTAATCGAAGAATTTCGTGTACTTCTCTAAATACAGCGTTAACATTGTTGCAGTCTGCAAATATTATTTTTTTTACTGATAAAAATAAATACAACTCTACTTTCAGTAAATGTGTTCTAAAATGGCGGCCGCGAATTGGTAAACGTAGTGTAGCACGACCCGCATCTATGTGGAGAGAAGACGTACATAGGGTTGCCGGTAATAACTGTAAGAGAAAGCTGAAGATCGTACCCAGTGGTGTGCCATAGAAGAGGCGTATGTCCAGCAGTGGGCTGATAATGATAATACTTTGAGTTGTATCTATTGCAATCATCGTCATTTCAGTCATACTCAGCAGTGGACGGCTGAACAGACATCATACATGTATGATTATAAAAACGAACATGATATTCCATGTATTATGTTATTTATATATCATACCTTTTATAGAAACCTATTCCTAATTTTTATCACCTAACATTAAAAACTATACATATATCGTAAGCTAAATAATAAACTGTATTGGGTAAAAAATATAAGTTTTATATATTATTATGTAATTACAATGCCAAACGAGCTTTTGGACCGTCTGCTGATAAGTAGTATTCGTCGTCTATATGTAGGTACACATAAATAGCATTCCGAAGATCATGTTTATTCCAGTGAACTAAAATGTTATGTCTCTTATCCTAATCTAAATCGAAATTCAACTTACAAAACAAGCTACTTGGAAGCTGTAATAGATGAGACTGAGGTATCAATGCAATCGAAATTTCATAGGTTACCATACGTTGTAAAAAGTTATCTACATCCCACGCACCTAAAAGCGTGGTATATAGTATTTAATATTATTTGAGAGTATTTTTTAGTATTTAATATATAGTTGCTTTTATTGTATTTCAAACTGACACAACTTTGGTTTACAGCTAGTCATTTTCTGAAGACTCACCAGTGCATACTGTATATAATCAGTGTTGTTCATTTTATCGAAGTTGGTGACCAAATTGAACATTCTGTAGAATGGGTGTGCATCATTCTTGTATACTTGTACATTATCAACAGACGAGTAGCTACGGAATAGGTCTCCAGCACTGGATGGAGCGGGATCAGTTCTTGGCGAAAGCGGGAATCCATTGTGGGCCGTTATTAGCAACACCCTATTTAAAACAAACAAAAAAGTGTAGTTTTAAATATTCTGTGAATTTCGTTAAATAATTCTTATTCATTTGATGTAAATGAATAAGAATTATTTAACGAAATTCACAGAATATTTAAAACTACACTTTTTTACAATATTAAGCTACAAACCAACTACTAAGATGTCTAAAAAAAATATTTAGCTAGAAAAATACTAGCTAAATATTTTTTTAGACATCTTAAGAAGGTCATTTGTTCTAAAAAAAAATATACTTATTATGTATGTGAAAAATAAAAAATCCATTTTGATACAACAACCCTATTTATTATTTCCTATATTTTATTAATTTATTGATACTGCGTTTTAAATAAACACCAACACATTACTTCTGAGTAATCTATAAAAATGGGTAATTAATATTAATTTCCGATAGTGCCAGAACTCAATAATTACTGTAAAAACCTGGCAAAATCGGTATTGTTAAATTTGTCAGAATATTGTGGACTGCACTATATCTAAAGTTAAAAAGTAAAGTTGCGTTTACTTCACTTCACTTCTTCGTCTACGTTGTATTCACGATAATCAAATGACAAAAATAAATTGTAGTACCCATAACATCTGCTTAACTTGGGACTAGATGGCGCTGTGTGAATTTATCCTGGGATATTATACATACATATATTGCTAATGTTAAATTTAAGAGTATAGATAGGTGCGGTTAATTGTTGTATAAAATACCTTAAAGCTAAATGCGCTATGCCGATGGTATTGAAGAGGTCTGCCTGGGCGCCAATGCACTCCCACCGGTGGAATGACATAGCTTGAGTCCGGCATTCCATTCCGCAGTACACGCTGCGCGAACAGGCGTTACAACTGCCGAGTTATAGAAATACTGGTTGCAAAATAAATCGTTTATTCAAACCAGATCGTTTATTTGGTTATGTTAGCACATGAAACCTCTTTTTGTATAAATGCTATAAAATGATTGTAATTAAATAAAAACTTCTTTTCTTTCTGTCAACTCGGTCTATCATTTATTATTAATTTTAAACCAATTAAAAATAGATCACAATTAGAAACACTAACAGGTCATATGCAATGATATGGCAATGAATCACATAAGGTAGTCCTGCTGTAAGAAATCCAGATCAATATTAGACTGGATGTTATTATGCACATTCTTCCAGTCATTTAGAAATCATAAGTGTTTACTGTACAATTTGTTCTAGAACTAGAACAGCACTACTTATTATACTGACTATTGGGCGTCTAAGTGATTACTAGTGGTATTGAATTCAAAACTAGACCGCTAATCTGATCGTTTTTTTGGTTACGCACTGTAATAAATATATCATAGTGCTCGTTTATACCAAATCAGTAGTATTCTAGATCTGGATTCGTAAGTTGGACTGTAATAATGTAAATAATACCTATATATCAACAAAGTAATTTATATCAGCCATATTATTATGACAAACATTGAAATAGAATCGATGTAATAGTGAAGTCAAATATGAAGAATGCAAAACATAGCTTTCCAAGTTATTTAGCAAGGTACTACGCTTACGGCTTACTAGATTTCTTTGTAGTTTTAATATTTTAATTTTTGTATTAAGCGTAATTTTAAGCATGCAGCCGATGTTTTACAATGTGACGATCACTTTAGCATTTAATAAACTGCATAATAATAGGTTGTATAATAGCTACGATGCACAGACTGAGACATCAAACTTTATAACACCTCTCTTTTTGAGTCTTTGTTAAAAGTGTGGATTTTTTAAAATCATATAAAGATTATAGGGATAAATAACAGGGATGCTTTACACTCACGGCACTATATTGATATCCATTTTGCAGCAAGTCTCGCAGGTAGGCGGATCGGTCTGTAGGGCTACCCATGCATATGGTTCCTCGCTGAAGAGCACGTCACCGCGGCGTGTCGCCTCGCATGCCACCACGTGTCGTCCGACCGTGTCGTTCCGACTGCCGGATTGTAAAAAGTTATTCCATTAGTAATACTGTGGGAACATTAATCTAACTATATTATTTAAAATTAGTTCTTCATATTTTGACTTAAATATGTAAAGTTACAACGTTTATTATTTGAAAGAGCAACACACACGTTTCTTGTTCATTCTTTCCAAATGAGATTAAAAATGTGATGACTATTCAGAGTGCTTAAATTAAGTTAATTTGAATAACGTATCTTCTATTCTATTCTATTAATGCATCTATATTATTATCATTGTTACATGTTAATCAGACACAAGTATAATTACTTCTTTTGATTTTAATGTTGGTTTTTAACCACAAGATCATCTGTTGTTACCTCTATCTTGTTTATTACTGTTTTTATCTGTTTATACATTAATTGTGTATGTAACTGTATTTTCTGTGCTAGGAACAGTAGAGTTTCATTCATTCTATATATGTATTTTTAAGTGTCTATATTATTAATCACATATTTACTAGATGCAGAGTTTAAAAAAGCTTCTCTTCAGGTCACCTTTGTAAGTTTTCTGTAAGTTATAGAATGTAAATTTGGCTATGATATTTGTTGTATAAGTGCCATGCCATTATATGTCTCAAGATGTATGAGCGACATTTTATAATTATGGAATATTAGGTACAGATTTACATAACAAGTTATTACAATATGTGTATTTACCGTAATTGTATCGCGTTAGATGCAGCATTGAAGTCAGGGTTCAAGCCATGGTAACACTCCGGTAGTACATCATTCTCGGACTGAATCTCGCGGTTAATCTCCAACTTTTCTTCTAACTTCTTGACGTGGCGCTCAAACTCCGCTATATTATATAAAAAGAAAGTGTAAGTCTCTACATAAACACAAAGTACACGTATACTTTAAATAAATAATATTATATTCTTTACACTTCCCAGAAAACTGTAATTATATAAGACCTAATAGATAACACTACAGAACTGTGAATAACGCCATACAATCTAATCCCCTGGATATCGAGACAGCCAACTATAATAAAGCATAGAATAGCCGACAATGCACTTGAAATTCCCCTGGTGTTGCGGGATCTCATGGGCGACAGTAATTACGTATCAGGTATCATCAGGTGAGCCGTAATCTATTCAATATACTATAAAAAATACTAACTATATGAATCTTTACTAACAATTTTAGGGAAACTTTAATAGAAAATATTAGCGATATTGACTGCGGTACTGTGTCATCTCTAGGCCGCCAAGCAAATTGCTTTGTAAAGTGTGACTGTATCACATCTTTCATTCGCAACAATATTCAAGTATACGAATAGAGGATATAATTGCATGACAATTTAGTCCTCCAGAACGGCGACACCAACCCGTAGTAACCATGTCATGTTTGTGATGGTTACCACTCACAATAAAAAAATTACAATTGGTTTGTTTCCCAAAATGGGGTAACAAAATAATACAAGTCACTAATACAATGCTTAAGAAAATATTGGTATTACAGATTACTATACTTACTACTATACCAGTCGATTTTACAGATTACTATCATATTTAAAGGATTTTTTGTTCTTGAGGCATTCTTTGATTTATTAGTAGTACCTTAGACGGCTTTCACCATATCTAGGGGATTAGATTAAGTGGAGACATTCACAATCCATTACCACATGGAGATATAGTAATCACCTTAACAGTACTAACTACTCACATAATTTACCAATGAGTATAGGGTATAGATTAGGCTGTTAAATTACTGGATAAGAGGCCTGACAACTTAGTCCTTTGGAATGGCAATGCATGAGTGATATTGTGAGTCACATGATAATGTGATATCCATATTGTTGTTCATATAAATATATGACTGCTACTACACACCATCAGATGGGCTGTCAGCTTTTGTCATACCAATCGCCTCTTCATTTGTTTATGAAATGCTTATGCCCTATTTAATTCAAAATATCTTTATTCATGTAGGTGAATACAGACTCTCATGATATGTCAAATCCACCGTCAGTTTAGAATGATTTTGAGATGAGAAGAACTGAGAAACACAACTCTTATTCTTTTTAAATAAAATTTGTACGCATTTGGGATAATAGAGAGACCACCAGCATATGCTATTGCAAAAGTAAAAAGTCTAATCAGTGTTCATAACCTAAACAGACCAGACCCCACAAGCACCACCCGTCCATGAGTATGACGCATGAACCAGCCATTGTTGCACTCAAACATATTAGAGCTCATACATATTAGAGCATATTGAAATGGCCCACCATGCCACCACAAGTTTGGACTTTATAGCATGTGCTTGTGATTTATTATGTAGACTTTACCAATATGCACAGCTGGTAACTTTAGAGTCGCTGCATGATTTCTGGCGGCGGTTATGGCGTCCCGTGCTTCTTTGTTCTGATTTAATTCAAGGTGACAATCAGCCTTCCGCACCAATAATTTGTGACGCAATTCTTTAGGGTAACCACAGTCTAAAGCTTGCTCTATGTCTTCCAGACACTCCTATAAAAGGAAAATTAAGATAATATATTAAATAATTTTATTTTTAAGTAATTGCTAATTAAATCTGTTTTGGTTGATTATTTGACCATACACATATCACAGTGGGTTTAGATAGAACAAAATCGGAAAAACATGATATAAGATATCTTCATAAAACTATACAGCCTCAACTATATATAGTTAGAGTATTATAGTCTAGTCTATGTTTAACACACCACTTTACTTTCGATTGTTACCACTTTGGTTTGATTCCTTGCGCAGCACAAACATTTGTATTCATGAGTATGATTGGTTTGATTGGTCCAGGTGTTTACTATGTATAATATGTATGTACTTAAGAAAAAAACTATGTATTTGTATCAGTTACCTAGTACCCCACAAGCTTTGGCTTTTAGCCTGACTTGGGTCTAGATGGTGCTGTGTGCTTTGCCCTGAGATTATTATTATTATTAATGAGATTAAATAACTTTTATTCAATAATAGAGATCATAAATTGTTAATGAAATAAAAAAAAAATTGCTGTATATGTGCAGACAACATGAAAGATACGAAAAATTCTTTAATGAACACACCTTAAATTTCTTCATCTTAAGTAATGAGGCTGATCTATTTGCTAGTGCCAGAGGATACATAGATTTATTCTGATCTGCATAAAGCACACCTTTAGAGTAACACTTGTAACTGTCCTCATAGCAGTCAGCACGGAACTTGTCATTCCCCCTTTGCCTCCAAAGTAATGAAACTTCATCACATTTCAAAGCTGTGTCGCAATCAGACATTTTCCTTGCATATGATAGCTGCATTTGATGTAGCCATTGTAGTAGAATTTTTCTAGAAAACAATACATCAATTAAATACATCAGTTATTATTTCTCTTTATTTGATATATTCAATAAATATAATTAATTCATCAAGATCAAATTAGAATGAAGTTTTCATTTAAAGTTCATAAACATTCAGTTCTAGATGTTTAACCTGTGAGAACCGATTAAGTTAAGACATAGTTTATGTATAAAAATGGCCTAACCTTAAACCTTCATTTTTATAGAAGTAGTTCATTGTGTCAACTTCATTATCACTGGTTCTGTCAATTTTCTTCTCTTCTGCGGAAAGCAGTAGCAGAAGAATCTCCCACTGTTTCGCACAATCTTCTGGCAACCTTATGTTATTCATTTTCTATAGGAATTAAGACTCAGGCACTGATTTAATATACAACATGCAATGAACACTAATTTATTCTTAAGTCCTATAATTTTTAAAATGTATACTTAAATAAATAAATTAAATTAAATTAATATATTCGAGTGCTACACATCCTTCGGGTTAAATGATAATGGTATAATGTTACTGTTTTAAATTGTTTTGTTTTGACAATAGATTACAAAGGAATGTGTAGTCATCATAATTTAATCTCCTAATATCGATTTGACGTTCCGTCCATGCGCGTTCCGTTTCAAGCCGAATACGTGCGATCGTAATGAAGAAGGCAAGGGGTTATAAGCAGATTATTTAAATTTTCATTCCCGAAACTTCTAAACAAAATAACTATGTTGTTCTTAGCAGAACCGACATTCTACGCTTCGTCTATACATCACTTGATTTCAATATGCATACCCCTTTCAAAACTGGCGTGCACAGTTGTAGACTAAAGATAATAATATAATTTAAAACGATTTTATAATTTCCGATTGAAAACGATTGTATTCATTTGTTCACTTATAAACTACAGAGTTTAGTACTACTAATTTGTTTTGAAAAGTTTAAGGCCAAAATTCTTTTTTGTCTCCTTATTAGACACATGGAATTTGCCAAATCCATCGGATGAATAAAAAAATTCAGGTCTGAAAGGGATATTTTAGTTAGATACTTAAGAATAATATTTTTATTATCCTTGTTAGTTACATTTTTACCATAGTAAGAGCCATAGTGAGAATAAGTAGCCTTATATGGTATATTTTTCAATGAAAAGGTGCACTCGACTGTGCTAACGGTATACCCTGGCAGGGCACCAGTGGAGAATGATAAGATGAGTATGAGGTCAGGTCAGTTAGCCCATCGTGGGAAATTCACCAGGATTGTATTATGATAGTTTCCAGGAGGAACCGCGTGGAGGTTAACATGACATGGTAGTATGTATGATGGTACATTGCTAGCAATAGGGTTATTTATCCATATTACTTCAATCTTGTATGTCTCGCATTGTCAGTGTGGGCCTTTTTTCCATATCTTAATTGGGTTTCGATTTGGTTTTAATAAGAACGTATTTAGAAGTAAAATTAGAAACTTAACATCTTGAGACATTTTCTCCCAGTCAACGATAGAGTATGTGTCTAATATAAAATTCCTGGCGCTAATATCGTGGAAAAAGCGGCAGCCCTAGCTTCACAGGGGGGTTGGTCCCGGAAGATGTGGTATGGGCCTTCAAGCCCACTATGCGGAAATGCGGTTGATGTGTCTACATAACTTTGAAGCCGTTAAGGAGATCGTCGCTGCTGTTGCCGATGCCGGAGGTTGCCAGCTTGAACAGGTGTTGGGGGACGTTCGCTAAACGCATCCAACGTTTGGCGAACATACCCCATCTTGGGGCTTGCTGGGTTCGCGCCCCAGCGGCCGTGATACACCGCAGCGTCGAAACTCAGAGTAGGCTGGGTGGTCCCTCGAGATGAACTGCGTAAGCAGAGACAGCTGGGATGCTTACGCTATCTGAAAGACGGGCGTGCCCTAAGCTCAAAAGCGGAGTCTCAAATCCGGATCCCAACAGACTTTGCTACCACTGTCTATTATCATAGGATAACCATGGATATAGATTCATGGTTAGATACGGACCGTCAATCGACAATAGCAAGTCATGGATTAGAAATCACAAGTATATCTTTAATGGAATGGTATATTCGCAGCATCAGAGAACGGTATTCTGGTATAAAAATAGTGATTAGGACTTATTGATGATGTTGCCGCAATAGGTAAGCATGATGAATTAACGGCTTATTCAATATTCATTTATTTCTTGTTGCATGTAAATTTTTATAGGAAAGTAGTGTAATGTTTTATAAAATTTTAGGCCACAGAATAATTTATGAGAGCATTAAGTACTTATCCATAAATATTATAATAAGTTATAATCTAACTTAAAAAAATATCCGTTATGTACAAACATGTTCATCTATTAAACCCCGTTTTCATCAAACAAATCCGCAAAGTGCACATATTTTACAAACAAAGGCGTACCTACCTATACTTTCAAACGTGTTTGTGAAACATATTCAAACATAACGTCAATTAACATTTTCATCAAACACTTAATGCTTACCTTGTTTGTTTGACCAACACACTCGCAGACACTTAGAAAAACTGAGAATCATGTAAAATTAGTTAATTTAAAGCGCCCACATGCGACGTGATCTTGTAAACAGTTGATGGAGTCAATCATTAGGAGGCAAATTAGTCAGTCGGTTTCATTTACTAATAGACTCAATAGGTAACATTAAATAGACAGAACTGAACTATGTGTAAAATAGTCCGTCAATAAAAAATATTGCACGATCATTCAGGTTGGGCTGATTAGTCAACTAGTCTCGTAAAAGAGATTGATATGGGAATAATGATCATAATTAGGAAATCCTGTGAATATTTGAAATAAATTACTGTGAATCCTATTTTTATAATATATCAAAGTTTTATAATAAATTCAGGTTCCTTGCAGACTTGTAGGTACTAGAACCGAAGGTAAGTCTTAAGTAACTCCCTCAGATCAGTACGAACAAAAACCTACATATTAGTTCATATGTTCATCATATTCATTATCGTAGGTAAGTCTCTTATGCTTTCAGCTTTTATGTAGAGGTCTAATGAAACGAGGTACATTTAGTAAAATAAAGTTTCGTCTGCGTAGAAACCCGTTATAGACACATGTTTCAACGGCCAAGAAAATCGCCCTGTGAGCTGTATCTCGGTTGAGATACGGTAATGAAATCATGTGATAAGAGGCATAACACCTTATTCAACCATCGTCGCTAGTAAACGATCTGCCCAAGTTCAGAGGTATGTACCAGAAACGCCACCGAACATAACTCCTGTGTATACTGATACCGGTAACCGTTACGATGATGACTTTGTTATAGTAGAGAAGAAGAAGCAGACAAAGAGGACTAATCGGGACTATTGCAGCACTGCACCTACTGGGCTGAACTTTTTGTTGAGTCTCGCAACACCTATTACGGTAATGTATCTATTCTGCCTACAACACGCCACCAAGGAGTAGTACATTGTCGACTAAATCCGGATCAAGAGTACCAACTGAACCTCATATTTTCGGTGACGTTTATGGTTCGGGTCCCCACAAACATGCTGCTCATCTTCATAAAGGGAGACTACTGGCCAAAGAGGTTGGTACATCATTAATTGTCTAAATTTATCTACTTTGATATTACTCTCTATCATTTTGTTATCTGGGTTTATTATATACATATACAGGCACGATATCCAGATGAGTACACTCGTCATTACATTATTTTACTCTCAAGGTGTATTATATATTGTAGTCTATACTATATAAGATATATTCTATATTTAAACACTGCACCATCAATTACATTAGAAGCCAAGCCCATCCATTAGTGGTCTCATGAAAACAAGTCTCATCAAAAGGCGCAAGTGACCTATCAGAACCATTAACCCAAAAAGTAATCAGTCTGTTCCTCATCGGAGTATAAGGATATAGGAAAGTGCTTTTAACATTCCTTCGTATCTATTGACAATTACATAGTTAAAATTAAACAATAGTAAGCTTTATTATATGTGGCCAAAGGTTGCTGTTATGGCGCCACTGCTTACGTCCTAAGTTTTAAAAGGTATGGGTAGCAGGATGATCCTTTCACGAAATGCGTGCTGGTATGTGGCAGTATATAATGATACATTAGGTGGATATATATGGTGTGGTTTATATTTACATATACGTGATGTCCTGAAAGGGTTTGCCGAGCCCAAATCCCGTGACCAACTTTCTCCAATGAAAACTCGGAAAAGTAAAAGTAAATTGAACCTATTAATTAAATAAATGATATACCTAGAATATAATAGTCATTTGTTTAGAATAGGTTCCAATTGCTTCGACTGTTAATTGTTGATGTTTTAATACTAAATTATTAAAGTTGGTTAATAATAAAAGTTATAAAATATACCTATTATACATAAACAAATCAAAGTGGAAACATTTTTGTAACAACTATTTATTTGTATTGTACATCGCTATTTCGATAAAGAGACATACATGGCTAGTACGTAATTATGGAGGCAATAAGGTTTTTTAGAAAGTCCTTTCGAGCATTAATAATTGCAAACTATTGTCAACATACAATACACTATTGACGTAATATTTAATACTTATATAATTAATACAATATGCTATACAGTTTAGTAAGTATTTAGATAGTCAAGGGTGTTCTGAATATTTATTAAAATGAAAATTATCAAATTTTCTTGACAATAGACACATTTCCGTCTAGTCCTAAGCAAAGTAGTGTTATGGCACTAGACAACTGAAAGAAATATTTTGCTATTGCTAGTAAGGTACCCGCTCAGATTAATCTGCACACGATTATTTCCACGCCATTCCATAGACCTTGCCACCTTGATAAATTCCCGGTGCATTTACTATTATGGGCTAAGTAACCTGACGTAACGTTAGCGTAAGCGGAGGCATTATTACTTTATCATCTGTTAAAAAAAATACCTAGACTAATACAATTTTTGTAAACAAATCGTTGTATCGTGTGAGTTGAAAGGAAGGCGATGGGCTAAACCACGTAAATTTTATTATGAGAGGCATTTTTTAGTGTAGTGACATAAGATGATGATATGATGTGCACGACTATACACCTATTACCATAGCATCTTCCGCTATAGATCCAAAATTTACACAGTGGATCCAAAATTTACATAAGGAACTGTATCCAATTTTTGTAAGTCTACTTATAGGATGAGATTTCCGCCGAGATTTCTACTCCAGCATAACCCAGATGTATGGTTCAAATTAATCCAGACTATCGTAATTATTCAACATCAGATGAAACATGTAGATGCTAGTTTGCTACTGGTTTATCCATGGGTCTAAGCCTAAAAAGGAATATTGTAATCGTTGTGAACAATACTTGATAGGTACTATTCCGCAAGTCACATAAGCTTATCTAATGGAATACCTAATTTTTAGGTCCATAATACAGCCACAATTTATTTCATTTCTGTCATATACTGCATAGTAATTACTTATAATCCGACCGCAAGCATTCCCAGGCTGTCCATGTATTTAGACATTTTGAATTTCTCAAGCGTACGTAATGTATGAAGCACTTCAAAGCAATGCCGGAATCCTGTTGGAATGCATCCAAGATGCACCATCTAATGCACCTTAATGTTTACACATCTAAAGTCTCTACCATAGATGTGGCTTATCTGGTAATACAGTTTAATATTGTTTCAAAAAATTACTTAAATATTTTTATGGATGACAAATTGATGATGCTGCCTGCGCTAACGCTAGTTTGAGTACCAGTGTAGTATATTATGAGGATGAAGTCAGGTCAGTCACCAGATTGTGGTAAATTCACCGGTAAATTAACCACGATTGTTTTCATGTGGAGTACAACCTAATATTGGTAACAAAGCAGTTACTAATAATCCCTCCCATAATTGTTAAGATTAGACGAGTGAAAAAATCGAAGAAATATCGTCATATCAAATATAGTCATCATTCTACTTTATTACACTTTTATACGATAACTTTACTACTGATTGTATTTTTAATTTAAATAGCAGATTTGTGACGTGATAAAACACGCGCAATAAAATAGTTCTATGTATCTAACGCGTTGATGTCTAATGTACGGGAAAATACGGACAGAATTATGTAATAAAATAAAAATATAATTTCACGATTAGCCACGTTTTAAATTTCTATTTCCATATAATAATAATACAATATCCACCCATTAACCTAATAACTAAGCTACATTCAAGGCACGTAGAATGTAGCCTGGAGTTCGAGAAATTTGTTATTCGGCACGCAAAAGTGGTGTTGCCAACTATTGCTTTAATAAAGCTGGAGTTAAAGATTGTGTGAAAAGTTTTTATATTAATCTATTTCTACACCTAAACGATAACTATAGTTGAACTAATAAATAATAAAACAGAACGATTTTGTTTGTATATTTTTACTTCTACCAATTTTCCATTCTATTATACATATGTCTAGCCTGAAAGTTGCGAGTTTCAATTACTTAAATTTAACCACAATGTTGTATATGATGGATATTAAACAATACTCAAACCTAGCTGTAAAGTTGCTAAGTTGGAAATACTGTGCGAAAGCTCGGCTACGGCTGTAGGGGCCGAGTGAGGGGGAAAGCGGGGGAGATGCGCGTGCGCACCTGCTGAGCAGAGCGTGCGCTTGTCCTGCTCAAGTGTTCACTGTTCAGTCCGCCGGCGACCGTGTTATGTTTTGTACACGCCATGATTTCGAATTTCAATAAAACGTCGCGAGTGTCGTAACAAAACGTTTTGTGAACATTAACATGGATGTGTTATACTTGTGTATTGCCCTGCTACTCGTACAAGGTTAGTTAATTGTTAATTAATATTATTAATTACTTAAAGTCTTTTATAATATACATATTAATTTATTTCGTATTATTTTTGTATTAAAATTTGTATATATTTTTTATAGGTATATATAATAGTTGTAAATATTTAGGAATTAAACAATATTTTTGGAATCAAATAACAAGCCCCTTAAATGCCCGCGCTATCTGGGTCAGCGTACATATGAAAACTTTCCTACTCTCGCGTGCCTTCCACTGTTTTAGAGACGTCGTATTTAATATGAAGAATTTATGTAATTGACTGCATACTGTTGGATATGAGAATTTTTTCTACATAATTTCAACTAAATTACTTAAATAATATGTAGATGATAGACTTGATTTTAATATATGTATAAGATCAGCTTCACCCGGCGTTATTGCACACGTGATATAAATAATATTACCTACTTGTTTTATATAACTTACATACTATATTGTTCAAGGTACGCGTAGACTCCACACCTAATTCTATCAAAATCGGTTTAGACACGAGATATTGTGCACGCCGACATAGTTACTTTCACATTCAAAATAATTATGGATATACCTACAAATGAAATTTAGTTACACCTATATTATATGGTTATCTACCTACAATAGTTTACGATGGAGAAATGCTTTAGGTACTGTGTACTTAAATAAACTCATTCATATTAATAATGCTTTCAATGATAATTTTATCACATTAACTACGAACTCATTCACAAACGTTAACGATCCAGAAATTTACCCTTTCTAACGCGCTAAACGTTGATTAGATACTTGCAATTTGCATAAATATAAATACATAGTTACACATCAAAATTATAAAAAAAGAAACAATATTCTTATTCGATATGTTAAACTAATTTTTAATCCTGTAAGGATTCATTATATGGGTTCCTTTTTTACCTTTTTTTTAATTTTCCACATTTGAATACTGATTTAAGTCCAAAACAGTCTTACAAGTAGTTGTATCTAAAAGTACTTTTGAGGAAATTATACGGATAATGATCTCATAAAGGTATAGCAGGAAGTTGAAAAATAAAAAGAGCACGCACTTACCTTCCCCTATACCAGAGTCCCAAACGGCTACTAACCATTCTGGCAGTGTTATTTTGTAATCTTTTTTTCAACGATCGGAATATTCAACAAGCTGACGGCCCATCTGACGGAAAGACGCAGACGTTGTCTAGATAGGAATATGTCTTTTGCGATAAATTTTGTTGGACATCATATATTATATAATATAATAGGACGTTAGGATACCTGATTATAAAAAATATCTGTTCATGCCGTCACCGTTATCGTTATTACAATATCTGTAATAATTATCCAAGATTTAGACTTATTTTTTAGACCTTAGTTTATTAAACTTATATAAAGTTTAAAGTTAAAATAAATCTTATCACAGATATTGTAGTAAAGGTAACGGTGACATGAACAAAAAATATAACGGAGAACAATTTTGAAACTAGTTGTATAACTTTTCAAGTGTTTTCCCGTATGCTTTAAAATTTTGGACAATCGATTATATGCATGAAGTTGCTTCAAGCCCATCCATTTGGAGTGAATTGGTAGATAGAATAATGACCCTTACAGCTAGATTATAATGTTACTTCATGAGTTTGTAAAATAGAAATTAGTTAACCCGTGCAATTATGCCTGCGTCTGCCTTGCTTTTCCAGATTTTTGCAATATTTTTCATTACAGCTCGGTTTTTATTCGTAGTAGTGTACAATATACTAAGTATATAGGTACAAATCATCAAAAAATAATTTTCAAACTCAGATCTGTAGTATCGGAGATTACATTAAAAAAGTAACTAAAACTAAATACATTATTATTATTATTATTATAAACTAACATTTTTATATTGTGTATATATATTATGTAGATATTAAATATCCATTTACACCCGTAAATGGATATATTTATTTATATAATATATATTTATATTATTCTTTAATGAAACTATGTATGTTGTTATCACGTTGTAAATATTATATAGCATTTTATTAAGCTTTGTAAATCAAGATTATGGAAACCTTCGTTTGTAATACGCGCGGTATTTTGATATACCTTTTGTTTTTCTGATATGTAAAGTATACACGACTAATTAAATATTAACTATGATAACACACCGATAGCATCGCTTCAATGCCTCCCCTCGTATTTGCCGGAAGTGCACCCTACATCCGGAATATAAAATAAAACAATGCGGGTAGATACAGCCTCTGTTAAGTCTGTTTTTGATGGACTGTAATTTTAATATAAAATATAGCCTGTGTTTTTTTTTTGAGTTCTTATGGATTTAATCATACTTTGATGCAGGTAAATTTTTATTAAAAATGGAATTTTCGATTTATCTTAATACAAGAACTCTTTATATTTTAATTGTTTATATATAAATAACCAGATTAACCGGACGAGAATTTCTATTTATTCTAGTTTACTACACATTCTGTAACGACCGTTTTGAATTAAGAATTACCGACAATTTAAAGTAAACATGTGTATGTTACCCATTTATTCTTACTAACATAATACATTATAACAAGAAACTTCATACATTCTTACCTTACTCCTTTCATACCTTCCAAATAACACAGTAACTGCAACGTCAGTCAAATAGAAAGACCTTGCATTACTTTGTTATAAGCCGAGATACCGTAACTATAGTAATACAACGCGTATAAATTCAAAAGAACGTTAAAAAAAACCGGTCACCGTCTAAAAGCTTCGATTTTGAGACCCTTATTTTTTACACCATAATGGATTAGACGATTGTTTTCCTTTCGCTGTCGGCGGTATGTGGAAAAAAACGATAATGCCTACAGGAATGTTTACGTTCGTGGAGATGTATATTATAATATTACTGGTGTCTGTATTAAAGCTATAATAATAATAATCATCTAAGGACAATTCACACAGCGCCATCTAGACCCAAGTTGAGCTAGCTAAAGCTTGTGTTATGGGTACTAGATAGTTGATACAAGTACATAATTTTTTTTCGTAAATACATACATATTGTACATAGAAAACACCCAGACCGATACAAAGCATCATACTCATGAATACAAATGTTTCGTGCTATGCGAGGAATTGAATCCGCGACGTTCGGTACTAAGGCTGTGTGTTAAACTGCTGGACCACTGAGGCCGCCATAAAAATATAACTGCATAGTATTTATGAAATGTTGATAGAGACTGTTATAATGAACCAGTACTTAATTTTAACAAAGATTAATCCGACCTGATAATAACTAAAGCTTTAGATCTTAGTTTAGTGGCAATAATATGCCTATACCAAATATTGGCTGATCATTTAATATTCAAATGAAAAAGTCAGAAAAATTACCGAAGTGCAACGTGCCGGCCAGATAAATAAGATAACCGAGAATCAGTGTGGAATAATATTTACCATTTATTTGGCGACCTTGTAAAGGTAATCGCATTAAAGAGGGATATTGGTGTTCTTCCTCCTTTGAGTGAGTGAAGATATAAAAAATTAATTCGATTGGTGCATAGAACAGAGAATTCGGTTCTGTGCAGAACTGAAAAGAGATTTCTGTTCGGCGGGTTGCTGGCGCATAGCCGTACTTTATACATTATACTGCGAAGACCTTTGCTCAGTGAATCGGCATGAAAAACTATTATGAATTTCTGCATGATATCTACAAAATAAAAATATCAACTTACCAACTTTCATAGTATATTAGTATTTGACCCGTGTACGGCGGAATGTAACCTAGCTGAGTACTTTCACTAAATGACAGTAGATTTTGGCGAAGCCTCGTGCGACGATTGTTATAAAGATACTGAGTCATCACCAGCTTGACATCGATTCGATGCCACCTGTTGACTCTATAAGAGATCGCCTTTGTATCCTCCAATCGGTACATCTTCGAGTCTGCGACCGCTGCGAACTCTTTTGATATTCTTATTATGTTTAAATTTATATTTTTAGAATAGCTTTTTCATGATGGCCATGTTTTCGATACTTACCGTTTTTTGTAATATTATACTATAGTAATCAAATTTACATGTTTTCATCATACAGCACACCGGTCTGTTATATACATATTCTACAAAAATTAAAGGAATATGCTATAAAACCAAGTTCAATATATACTCACACTAATAACTGAGAAAATTGTATAAAAGATTATCAAACTTAACAAAAGTTATACAATAACAAAAATAATAAGGACTATTATGTATATTAAGTAATACTATAAATGGAAAGCGTATGTTTCCCGTCTGATTGTTTCTTACCTCTTCACAACTCAATGCCTGAACGGATTTCAATGACATTTGATAGATTGTATTACCAGGATGGGCAAAGGCTATCTTCTGTATAATAATTGGCAAATGAAATCGCGGGTTAAAGATATTACTTGTGTATTCTAGTGCTTCTTTTTATTATTTCAGATTTAGTGACGTGTACATATAGAATAATAACGGGCTATTTGTGTTTCAACCACTTTTTAAAAGTTATTTATGTTATAAAATTGAATATAATTTGACTGATTTCTTTTCCGCACTTTCTCTATGCGTCGTTATTTTGTTTTGGTAATAAATATTACGTCAGCGATTCGTATTTAATGTTGCGTAGGTTATGCATATTTGTTGCATGTTTTTAAATGTATTTAAATCATTTCCATACATTATCAATTGAATAATTATTGGATGTCGTAATAATTGGTGTTTTATAATTATATCAAGACACAAAGTAAATGTATAATAAACCAAAATTCAGAGGTAGTAGTCGTTAAAATAATGTTTTAAACCATATTACAATTTTATATCAAATTATACAAAGTTTTCTACATTTAATATTTTGTCTAAAACAAGTTTCTCACCTAACTCCTCCTAAAGGACTACATTGTTAAATGATATGTTGCTGCAGAAACATATTATTTAATGTAATACCTGGATGTAATGGAAATCTTGTTCTACTCAGTAGATGACACTGCTTTTCCTGGGAGGACGA